ACAAAAACAAATCTCCCAGATTTTGTCTGGCTTCTTACCATGAACGTGGCAGACATGAGCTTGTATTTTACTTAATGCTTTTTTTGTTAGTTTGCTGGTTACCTAAGTGGGCTCAACACCATTGCAAGACAACGGTCTAGTGCAGCTCTTGTTGGTTTCTCATTAGTTTTAACAGGAACAGGATTAAACCTTCAAAAATTGAGAATAACTGTGTCAGAAGTATAGGTTGACCAGAGGCAGTAAAGCTGTGAGAAGTTAGAGGACTTGGAGGAAAGAGCAAATGGGTATTGTAAGGTTGTCTAAAGACCTTAAGACTCTTAAAAACACAAAAAGGCATTTATATGAATCACATCTGTCCTTCAAAGTGACAAAGACTGTAGAGTATTTGAATTGAAAAAGAAAAGCTGTTAAAACTTGCTAAGCATCAACACAGACTGATTTATGATGAAAATTTACTCCTAATTACAGCATTCCTGTAAATTTCTTTAATGCTGAATATATTTGCTTTCTTTTAATTTTGACCCTGTGTGAGCTAATTTTTTCTGTGTGCATTCCAATAGGTTATTTCAGTTCCAGGATGCTTGGGTTGATAATTTGTAATTTGCCAGACTGTATTGTATATACTTTTTTTTTTTTTTCTTCATTCTCTGATGCAAGCAGTTCTACTAACTGGGAATAATCACCCACAATGGTGCATTTAGCCCTCTGTGAGCAGTCATGGCAGTACAACACGGAAAGGGAGCTGCAAAAATGGCACCAATACTTTTTATTTGTCTGAACAAACCTACCTTAATGAATTTATTGCGTTGTTTGCCCATTCAAATACAGGATGAGAACTGTGAATGTAGTGCAACCTAGATCCTGCTTGGTTCAAGTTAAACAGTGGTAGGACCAAGGGCAGAACACAAGTCTACTGATCCCCTGGACTTTGTTCTGCCCACTTGACTGCTTTGCCACAACCCTTTGTTTTGTGAGCTTTCGCTGAAACAAAAAGGCTGAAAGCTAGAGTATCTTTAACAGAAGACCTTTGGCATTGCCAAGGCATCAACAACTTGGTGGTTTCAGAGCTGAGTTAACCTCAAAAATAAACTCTGTCATACTCCATGTACAACTTGAAATGCTAAGACCTCCTGAATACCAGAATTGGATCACTGTTGTGTCTCTATACAGAATATTTGGAGAATGTGAATATTGAAACCTTTCAATTGCTTTGTTGTTGTTAGAAGTAATGGCATTTCTGCAGCACCAAGGAGTCTTAGTCACAGGCCAGAAACGTGTTCAAGAATACAAAAAGATAAATGCTGAGGTATTACTAGCTTGGCACATAGAACAGGAAAAGATACAGTAGAATTCATTTTCTTGCATTAACTTACTTGCTTTTGAATTATGAAGAAATTCCTGTATTGTCTGAAAACTGAATAGTAACAAATTATTGTGAGAACTGCTTACTGGTTCTCCTTTTCATGGTAATGAGAGCGCTGTTCATCCAAGATTATTTCTGATCTCATGTGGTTTTGGAAGTGTTTGCAAAAGAGGAAAAGAATTCTTCCCAAGCGATGTGCTTTTTGTTTTCTTTGAATGTAGACATTTTTTCAGTCTCAGACTCAGAACATTTGTAACGCAGCGTTGCTGAAAGCAGTGGTCTATTTAGAAAAGCAGTAGTCATCGATTCAGGAATGACCAGGCAAACTTGAAAAGGCTAAGGAAAGTAACCCCAGGTGTATCCTGGTATCTCATAACGTCTCTGTGATTATCCAGCATTATGAGAACAGAAAGCGGTGTCCTGGCAAGAATGTCTGTATTCAGTGGTGATGTTTTTGAAAATGTGCAATGAAAAGGGCACCCGGGTGTCAGCGACAGTACCTACCACACATGGTGGCCTGTGTGTCAGGTTGTGGCCAGGTTGTGTTCATATGCTGGAGGTGTCTTAGATGTTTTATTGTTAAGAACTGAAACACTGACCTTTGAAATGTGCTTTGGGGTGGTCCTCACATCTGTGAATGGTTTGAAGTGTTAGCACTGATGAAGCTTTGGTAGCCCGAGTGGCACAGTGTTTGTAGGGACCAATATGGTTTTACTACTCCTTCCTCTTTAGAAAAAATGAAGCTACTTTGGGCATGTGAGACTAATCTCTTTTCAGTTCCATTTCATATGCTATAAAGATGTTTAAGAATTTATTACTTTTTTTTTCTGACCACATGGCTAGAAGCAGCCCTCTCTAAATCTTTTTGTAAAGACAGAGAGAAAGTAATGCTAATTATTGTTCCTGTGTACATAGTTAGCTTTCCACCATCGTAGTAGTAAGGTGTGCTGTCAAGCGTGTGCGCTGTTGATGCAGGTAGCTTAAAACAGCTGCAGAAATATGTGTTGGTGCAACCCAGTCCTTTCCACCAGTGCTATGAGTGTTTGTGCTGCCTTTTAATAGCATAAGATTAGCATTATCATGCAAAAATTGAAACTGTATGTTACACAGAGAGCCCTTGATATAAAGGGAGTAAAGGAGGCCAAAACACCATATTGTCCAAATTGTTAAATATAAAATAAAATCAAGAGCAAATACTTCAAAATTACTTAACAGGAAACTTTAAGCTGAATTTATAACCCTTCAGCTGAAGAGCTATGTTCTCCTTGCCTTCAATGTAGTAAGTCTGGGTGCCAAACAGTTTCTGTTGTGTGGCAGAAGAAATGTTTCAGTGGGACAGCAGGAGCAGAAGCCAGCTGTGCAGTATAGGGAGAGCTATAGCAGCAATCAAACCAGAACCCAGGTTGGTATTCACTAGAGTAGCTTTGTTGATGTTTCTGAATAAGATGAAAGCAGTGTCAGTCATCACTGAGCCCAGTTGCGCTGGTGCTGTTCAAGCCCCTAAGATAGAAGGTCCCTAGTATGATTACAGAGATTTTGCTGTGAAATTTCTTTGGAATGGGAATATAGTCTTTCCATTAGATGCTTTCCTTTGATCTTGCATCTCACTTGGTTAACGTGTTTGGGACTAGTCTATATTTGCGAAAACACAGTGTGCTTCCACTTCTCCCTCCTCCAAGAGTCTCCTGATAATGGAGAGAAGAGTCATCTACTGAGTAACCAGAATTTGGTCTTCTCTGTGGTGGTTTCTCATCAAGTACTGGTTTAGCTTAATTGTGCTTGACTCTTTGTATTTTATTCTCTTCCTCCAAATTAAGTTACCCATGCACACTACCTCAACTGACTTATGCAGATAATGTAGATTTGGCAGAGAAATGCGTCTGTATTTTAGGATATGACTGATTTAACTTGCTTTCAGTGTTTCACAATACTGAAGGAGCTCTTGAATTACTATTAAAAGCATTACTATAAAGTCACAAACTTTAGACTTCCCTTGTTTTGCAAAGTTCTGATAATTACTGAGGTAAAATGAGTCAGTAGTTCAGCACTTTGCAGAATACAAGGTTCAAGATCCTTTTTATTAATGAAATCCGTAAAACCCAATGACAAATCATAAAGCATATGTGCTGCAAACTTATAGTAAGAAACCAGTCAATATCATGCACACAGTGAAATAAAATTTATGCAGAAATACGGTAGCTCCCGTGCTCAAAAAGGCTTCTCTCCCACTTTTGACCATGGAAAACATCATGATTCTTTACTTTTGGAAGTGCTTTACTTTTCATTAATATTCAGAAATTTAATTTTGCTTAGTTCTGAGTATTAATTTTGTTCAATATTGCTGTTGGCAAAAAAAAATAGTAATGTCTTTTATCTCTTGCTGTGGCCCAGGTACATAGTGCTGTTACGAACAAGTAATGGAGTCATTAACAGGGCAGGGCAGCCTTTGGATCTAGTACAATAATTTTTATACCAAATGCAGCCCAGGCTTTTCCTGTACAGGATGTCATAAAAACAGCAAGAGATTTAATCAGGTATGTTAATGCCTTCAGAGTGTCTTCCTGAAATTATCCTTTGCTTGTTTATCATTTTTGGGTCTTCCTTCAGCAGCTGATATCTTCAGTATTGGTACTGCTTTGTGTAGTCTAACAAATAAGACCGGATATAGGAGAAATGTATAATTTTTAACATTAGATGTTCTTGGAGAAACTAACTTAGAAAATTAAATCGTAGCTGATCAACTTCTACAGTCCAGCTGTCATAATGAGAGATGACTGTTCTTGCTGCCAGTAGCCACCCTTCTTACATACAGGACCAGTACTGCTGACGTGCCAGCAAAGCAGTTTGGGAGCATACACTATTTTATTCTGGGTAAAATTGGCCAAATGAGCTCACTCCACCGATTGTTTATGCCAACCCATGTCATTTTCATGACGTTAAAGAGAGATTTTTACAAGGAATGTGTAAAGTCTCGCTACCTCCTGAATTTATAGGAACCAACAATAAGCAGCAGTTTGGCTGGTGGATTGAAGCCTGTTTTGCAGAGAATCCTTGCTGGGGAGAAGTACTTTCTCGTCTCTTTTGCCTGTCTGCTTCTCACATTTGCAGCAGTTAATGCCTCAATTCTCCTGCATGTCAGCTGGCCTCATTTGACTCTCCGTTCTGGTTCACGGGTTTCCGATGTGGTCCACTGCCACACGCAGTAATTTTTGTTGTTTCAGTTGTGTAATTACAGGGATATTTGACTTCTGTGTAGTTTGTACTGAATGCAAGATAGCTGATGCTGCCACTAATTTCAGACAGGTCTGTAGATCAAAGATAACGCTGGCAGCTGCCAGCACCTTCTACATTAGTAGTAAGTATCCAGTGATACATGAACTTCATGTGCCATGGACCGCCTTCCAAATCGCTCATTTGTAGCATGCTGTAAGTGAACTAGTGATGCTCATAACTCTCATCGTATCATCCATAATGACCAATCAAAGAGTACAGTATCGCAGGCAGGCAGGCAGGCAGGCAGGCAGACCCTGCCCTGCCCTGCGCTCGCAGTGTGACTGTCACTCAGAGCTGGTTAAGTAGCACCGAGTGCTGCTGCTGCTGCTAGATGTTCGTGCCTAAATGCTGAGTGGGCATACAAATGACTATGTCAGAAAACACAAGAGATTTAGCAGAAAGGTAAGTAGCAGCCCACAGCATTTTCCATTTGGCTTAGAGGCGGTTCTGATCTTGCTGTTGAAACCAGGAGAGAATCTGCAGCCCACTGAAGCATGACTAATCAGTTTGCTAAAATGCTTAGCACTCTCTAGTTTAAAGTATTTCTTCCCTATTGTTAACAGGAACAAATGATGATTTGTAGCATTTATGTAAGGTGTGTATTGTGTTCAGGTCTTAAACCGTTTACTTGGGAACTACATCAAATGTCAGGTTTCCTTGGAGCATGAGGGTAGTGTGCAACTTGTATTTTTGCTGCTGCTGGGGGTGGCACTGTGTTAATAATTCTTATTTCCGAAAAGATGCCAAGTAATTAATACACCTTATTTGTGCTTTGAGCTTCAACAGTGTTTTTTTCTTTGTCATCTTTCTGTTTCAAAGGAATATTTTGAAAAGCTCTATTTGTATTGAATGGGGTAATTCTCCTGTATGACAAGAAACAAACAAACAAAAATGCCAGGTAAAATGTTACTAGTCTAAGTATTTTAAAATGGATGAGAATATGTTTTATATAGCGTTAAATGTGCTGTTTGGTTCAAGTTTTAGAAAAGCAGGTAAGAATTGTAATACATGTAAACAATAATTGACAAAGTTTTAATTATTACAGTAAGTAAGGCTCAGAATAGTTAGGCAGACATGATATTGCATATTGTATGAGACGGCTGCCAACACTTGGTTAATCAATGTTTGCAATGCACTTGGAGAGTCTCTTGGGTGCAGAAGGATTTGCAGTGTATCTGAAGTGTGATAACAGCCACTATGAACAGTATCATATAATGTTTCTCTCAAATTTATAATCCTGTTTTTCATATGTATATAATTATGCTCTTTTTTTCTTTGCAGCCATTATTCTTAAAAACAAAACCAAGCCGCTGCTGCAGTCGGTGGTTATTACTGATGCTATCTGTTTGTTCTGTGCTCCCCTGTCTTTTTCTTAAGATGATACCAGGACTTTGCTTTCTGTTTTTCCTTTCAGCAGGCTATGTGTTGTGCCATTTTTTAAGGAAGTAACATAGTTTCTAAGTCACAAGACAGATCACATCAGTTTGAGCTGTTTGGAGTCGGGAACATGATGAGGATTTGTTTGTATTTTGTTGGGGGAACTTTTTTGTACAGGCTTGTATACAACGTATTAGTACGGTATAGCTCTTTGATCATTAGATACAGATGTTTCAACTGTCCTAACATTGGCCAGGTTACCTTAACTTCGTTAGTGCAAGGCCTTATTGTTTCTTCTGTGGATTTTTTTTTTGTCCGGCAGTTCTGGTGGTGATGAACTTGGGCCAAACTTATTCAGCTGGTCTGTATTATCCTGTTGCCAGTAACCCAAAGACCAGCAGAGAACCCTTGTGACAGGTCAGGCTGACATCTGAATGTTGTAAAGGAGAAAAGTACAGCCAGAGTAAGCCACTGAGATAATATTCTGACTTTGAGATGCAGCAGCAGTTTTTTTTGTTTGAGTGCAATAGCACTTCTTAGGGACAGTGATGTTCCCAGGAGCATGCACAATGTCAAATTTTAACCCACCTGCAAGTCTGTAGTGGTCTACTGGTCGGGAAACATACTGAACGTGAGCTGAACTAAAGCAGGTGTTCCAGCAGCAGTCGATCTAATAGTCTGATGTAGTTTGGCAATGTCTCATCCTTAAAGTTACAACATGATCATAACGTCACTAGCCTGTAGTCTCTGTCAGCCTTACAGTCAAATGTGCATCGTCACCCAGTGCTTCTGTGTTCCTGATACCCGAGCTCATAAAATTGCCACATTCCCACGTGGTAAATTCTGCATGTCCAGGGTCTTATTTACAGCACATGCAGTTTATCTTATTTTCAGAAAGTACAAAACTTGAATTGCTTTCCACACGTCACAGAGTAAGAGCATAGTTTAAAAAAAAAACAAAACACAAACATAATGGAAGACACTCATTTCTTGAAATCACTAGAAATGGAATAGCAGATTATACATGGGAATAAGGCTAGAACTGAAGATGAGGAGTTCAAATGTAGCAGTAGTGCACTGGCAGAAGGAGAACAGATGTGCCGAGTTTATTCTCTTTTCTTCTGGCAGGTCACCTACATCAGACCTCAACATGGCATTGCATGAGTGTATGGCAGCTCTGGATTTATTTCTTAACAACAAGTTCTCGGATGCTTTGGCTTCTTTACAAGCAAAGTAAGTTGATTACTTTTACTGGTTTTCCTCTGCTTAATTTTCTTTGCATCACCATCTTTCAGGAGAATTGACTAGACAGCTAGTTCTCTGTTAATAGTTGATAAGACTGCATGGTTTTTTTTCAGAAGGGGGTGGAAAGTTAATGTGTTAAGTTTTGGGGAAGATAGAATAAGTGCTTTACACTCAGGTGAGTAAACAACAAGACTGATCAAAGGTAACTACAAAAAGTACAGAATTGTTCTCCAGAGAAGTAGCCCCTCAGCTGTAGTACAGTATGTGAGATTCTTGCTTCTGGAAGAATAAAAACCGTCCTCTGTCACTTTTTTTTTTTTTTTCTCTTTTCCCATATTTTTCTGCATACTGTGAGAATTTGAGAATTTATAGTTTTGTGTCTAAATGAGCAACTGACCATGAGTTGCCAGGTTTGGGACACATTACTTTAGGTAAGAATTCTTTTTTTTCTGTTTTTTAATAAGTACTTGCAGAAACTTTCTCACAGCTTATTTTGCAATTCAGTGTTGTGGTCATGCACTCTGTTTCCTAATTACATTGCAGCCCAGCATGTAATGAGTGGCCCAGCTGCAAGCAGTGAGGTCATAAAATAGCTTCTAAAAATTGTTGTGTCTTTACAATGTCTGTGATTTTTCACACCCTGTCCTGAAGTTACCTGTGCTCTTGGCTTGTTGAAGTCTGTGGTTAGTTCACATTTTTTTCCCCTGTTTGCTCTATTTATTTTTGAGCCATCAGCAGATTACATCATGCCTTCTTTCAGGCCACTGGAATACGAAACAAGTGAAATTCATAGGTAATGCAGTAGTGTGTGTTTGATCTGCATCGGGGTAACTATAGTGAATACTACATATCTGCTTTGCTGAGGTATCAGCCTCAGTCTTTGATGCTAGAATCTGTAGCTTAACCATGTAAGTACACTCTCTGAAAGACATTCATGATAAATTGTGGGCTCAAATGTATTAATAATACTGGTTTTATTCACAGCAGTGTTGCTTTGTGTTTATATATCACCAGAAGATATCATAAAAATGGTAAGAAGAATAACTGTGTTTTCATTAAATTCTGACAGTAAAGCCCCTGTGCCCATCTGGAAATGCTTACTCAGTGCTTAGCATAAAATAGGGAGATATTTTATTGACGAGGGTTTCCAAAACACTGCAAAAGCTAGTGAGGCTGTGGTTTGTTTTTTTTTTTTTTTTTCCCTGTAAATCCATTTTTCTTCTATTGCATATGGTTTTCATTCAACTTTTGTAGGGCCCTGCAGAATATATTTCATGAGCTGTTACTCTGTTTTTGTACCTGACTGTATTCCAAACTGCAAAACCATTTTGAAACTGATTTTTCATGTTAGCCTGTTGTTATGAGGAGGCCCTTATTCCTGTTGCCTTTGGCAGTGAGGGAAATACAGACTTAGGATTTTTGCAAGTGTAGTGGAGAAACAGAATGCTAAATTTCCCCACAGATGATACCCATTATGGACACACTCCATCTCTTCAGGGAATGACAAGAGCTGTAGAGTGGGCGCATGTGGTAATACTGAGTATTTTCTTTAGGAGTCATCAGTTCCTCACTGTTGCCTTTTAGCGTGCTGAGATTTGAAATTGGTTTTCACAGTCCATAAACATACTATCTTTGTTTAAAGAAATACTTTTCAGTTTTTACATGCTTGTAAAGAATTTCATACCATAGATTTTGCAGCTTTACCACTTATGTTGTAGGACATCCTCTGCTCTGTATTACATTATTGCAGATTCACTAAATTACTCACATTTGGCTTCCACAATAGTGTATTTTCAACTGATTTGTACCATGTGTAACTGAGAGCAGATTTGGCAATGTATAAGAGTTAAAATCAGAAGATCTTTCCTAGCAGCTTAAAAATAAATATCTGAGGATCGTGTCTAGGCTTGTGTTAAGGTAAAGGTTTTTTTTTCCTGTTAGAAAAGCAAGTCCATCGTAAAGAAGAGATCATGTTGCATAAAAAAATTCATCAGGCATTTTTGCTTCATGTTACATAACTTTTCTTGTTTCCTCAGCTACCTCTTAGGTTTTAGAGTCAGTTTTCTTTATCATTAACAATCGTTGTACAGTAGTGGGCTCCAGTTATCTTGTGGTTTCTGCAGTAAGTTTAATTAAATTTATCTTTTATATGGAGTATTCATGCTAAGTCTAAGAACTCTTCAGAAATTCCTTAAATTCAGTCACCAAACACAGCAGTGATTTTCAATATGTAACCTGTTAACTGTGACAATGAGTAACACTGAAAATGTTTAGTCCCTGGAGTGGGGAAAAAAATCTCATCTTCTTCCTCAACCCCGAGATACATACAGTAAATCGATTAAAAGCTGACCAGATTTTAGCCCTCATGTAATTGCAAACAGATAATCATAAATTAAATAGGTGATTCCGGTGAGATGTCCGCTTTCCTTCCCCGAGACAAATGTTTAATATTTTAATAATTATCCTGAAGGAAAGCATGACATAATCACCTGATAGGTTGCTGATGTCCAATCATTTGGGAGAATGGTAAATAATACAGATAAATTCATGACACACAGTAATCTGGATCATTGGATGAGCTGCAACATATCTGTGTTGAACAGAAGAACAATATGAGAACAATTCATTCTGGGCAGTTGACCTTATTCTGAAAATAACTCCCAGAAAGCACTTGGTGTTGTTTGGTGGAATGTTAATTCTAGAATAACTGTGTTTGAAAGGTAAATTCAGTCCTTTGATGTGGGAGTATCTCAGGTAGGTGTGAAGAGATTGTGTTACTGTTCTGCTAGTTACTTGGAATAGTGTAGTTCTGTGGTATCTATTTACTGTCACTGGAATTTTTAATATAAACCCAATTTACAATGTCAAATGTTATCTTGTATATTCTGATCTTTAAAAAGTTTAAAGAGGTTACTAAGGAATGGAAGCCTTTTGTAATGGCTGTCTTCATGGTGTGGTGAAATGTCCTTGCCCTTGTAGAACAAAAACAAACATGAGGTTGTTCGGTGGGGTGGAGGAGCTTTCTCTGGGAACTGATCTAACAAAGAAGGTGTGTGGTTGTCAAACTGAGAGTGGTGAAAGAGTACGGAGAAGCACATGGAGGCAGAGTGAAGCTCTAGACAGTGTTTGGATAAAGATGGTGCGCAGCTCTGCAGAAAGCTTGAGTTAGCTATTTATGGTAAAGAATGTCAAGAACATGAAGGAGGTCATTATTTCTATGGCTTTTTTAATCATTTTATGCCTGGAGTCTGGAAGAACACAACTTTCGTAGTCTTTGTAAATAAATACATTGCTGCCAAAACCTGACTTAATTTTTAGTTTCACCTCCTAGCTGAAAGAACTTACTAGATTCCAAATTTTGGAGAATGGCTTAGATCAAAAAGGCTCCAGGGTACTCTTCTTGAACTTCAGCTTTGTGGCTTAGACCAGATTTAGACCATTCTGGCAGCTTGTGGTAACTAAAGAACCAGGCTATTGGCTGATTAGAATGGTCCTTCCTAGTTGTAAACTTCATGCTAGTGGGGAGTTTTCATAGGAAACAGGTTTTTATTGGAAAATGTCAATTTATCAAAACAGAGAGTTTCTACAGAAGCCCACGCAGTAAGTCTAGCAGGTTGTTTGGACATTGGGTGGAACTTCTGATCAAAGATGAGGAAAGTCTTCAGGCCCTATGTAACCACATTCTCCTGATGTGGTTTCGATTTGGGCCTCAGTCTCTTGGGTGCACCTGGATGAATGGACTGTTGGCTGGTCTGTGGAGGGTCTTTCTCACTCTGTGCTGTTGGATTTGTTTCACTTGTTAGAAGCATCTTGATACAAAATCAGGTCACGGACTTGAGTATGAGGTTTCTGTAACCTGGTGATGCATGTCCTGCCTGCTGGTTTATGGTAAAAGGATCCACAAAAAGATTTTGGGCACTGTGTTTTTCACAAAAAATATTAGCCCCTGGGTTAATTTTGAGGTCAAAACAAGCCAAGCTTTTTGATTTTCATACTCCAGCTGGAGGGGAGAGCTGTCACCATCCTCCCTTAGGTACTTGTTTTCAGGCAGGAATAAAAGTGTTCTCCAACAGCTCTCAAGAAAGGGCAGCACTACAAGATGATAATGATTGCACCGTACTTGGAGAACAGGCATGTGGCATAACTCCATAAGTGCCTAAAGATATTACTTATAATCCTCTTATTCAGCCATGTGATACCAACTACTGGGATAAGTCATTAATCAGAATATTAGTTATATTTATGTCATAAAGGCTTGTTAACTCCAACAATGTCCTGGGGAAAGTGCTGCTGAGGAATCAAAACAAGAAAGAAAAAAAAAAAAGCTATCAAGTTTCATTCTGTATCCATCCATATAAAATGCAGACCTTAAAACTTCTGGCAATATGCCAGGATGTAACCGGTAACTTTAATTGTATGGTTAGTATAAATAGCATAGATAACTGTTACATGTGGTTGTATTTCTACCCGCCTCCCAGCCCCTGAAAAAAAGAGAGTAAATTTGAGAGTTGATAAATACCAGTTGACTAATGATAAACATTAATTATGATTTCCTTTAAATATTAGAAGCAAAATAGATGAAACCATTGATTAGGGCAGGAGTGATTTGGTATTAGAAGCAAATTACTGGAGAGGGAAATCCCTCTTCACGATGTATATATGAAAAGTATCAATTTTCCTTTTAGTGCAGTGCATTTAATATTTATCTGCTTTAATTTTGAAAGCAAATTTCTAAAATTTTGGACAGGGATGATTTTAGTGCCTTCCGTGTGCTTTGAATCTGAACCTTTGGAAGGGTTTTATTTTAATAAATACGAGATGAAGTGTGTTTCTCTGCGCCCACTGAGGCTGATGAATAATGAAACGAACAGGAACACTTCATCAGGCTGACATTTTATAGTATGTTCTTTTTTTTTTTTTCTACTTTGCATTATCAGTCTACTGAAAGAATCGTGTTGCAGGAGGCCAAGACAGAGCTGTCCTGACTCCACTGGATTTTAAACTAATTTCTCCATTATCTGTCTGTTCTTCTTACTCACAGTTGGAGATGAGATGGATGTTAGCATAGTCTGGGGCTCATAGTACGTACAGCAGTAGGTGATTTCCCAAAATGGCTTTTATGCTAGGTTGATTTAGAGGTTGGTTAGAACAGCTTGTTGGGTAACCTGTGGACATGGTGAGGGCGAGTCACAAAACACAGCCTGCAGTGGGATTTAAAGATGTACACTGCAAATTTCTTCAGCACAGCCAGCCTGCTCTGTGCCTTGTGTATTCAAAAAAGTAGCCCTTCATTGTCATTCTGAAGGTTGGCAAGGGAAGCGCCAGATATCTGTGTAATGCTGTCTGTGCCAGCGCTAGGTATTATTTTAATCCCTAGATCTCAAAAACTAAATATACAAAGAAAGTTAGGATCGTATCATCACTTGGATTTTTCTTTGGTGATTTTATTGCACAATGTCATTGAGAGGGAGTTACTTTAGATGTAGACAAGGTTATTTTTTGGCTCTGGAAAGCACTAACCAAACATCAGGGACTCCTGAGGATACTTAAGGGTGTTTTACTCCATCAAGCAAAACAATTAATGCATAATAATGTATGAATTGTTAGAAAACTTAAAGGGATCCAGGTCACCACAGTGCATTATTAGATTATTGATTAATGTAGGATGGTCTTAAGTTATCCTCAAAATCATCTTTCAATTCAATCCAGATATCAAAACCTGGGGAGGCAAGTGTATTTCCAGGGGAAAAATGGAAATTAAATGGGTTGAGGTGTCTTTAAAGTTTGACTTTTCCCCTTAAAACAAAACCACTGAATCAGAGTGGTTGAGGTTGGAAGGGACCTCTGGAGGTCACCTGCTCAAGCGGGACCACCTAGACACGGTTGCCCAGGACCATGTCCAGACGGCTTTTGAATATCTCCAAGGATACAGACTCTACAAGCTCTCTGGACAACCTGTGCCAGTGCTTGGTCACACTGATAGTAAAAAAGTGTTTCCTGATGTTCAGACAGAGCCTCCTGTGTTTCAGTTTGTGCCCATTGCCTCTGGTCCTGTCACTAGGCACCAATGAAAAGATCCTGGCTCCCTCCTCTTTGCACCCTCCCTTCAGGTATTTCTGTACGTTATAGGAACCCCCTAAGCTTTCTCTTCTCCAGGCAGAACAGCCCCAGGTCTCTCAGCCTTTCCTCATAGCAGAAGTGTTCCAGTCCCTTAATCATCCTCATCGCCCTTCATGGGACTTTCTCGAGTATGTCCATGCACTGAGGGGCCCAGAACTGGACACAGGACTCCAGGTGTGGCCTCACCAGTGCTGAGCAGAGGGGAAGGATCACCTCCCTCGACCTGCTGGCAGCAACACTCCTAATGCAGCCCAAGATACCATTAGCTCTATTTGCAGCAAGGGCGCATTGCTGGCACACCACGTTCTCCTTGACAGAAAAAGAAAATGAAGTAGCTCATTTTGAGAAACAAACACCTGAAGTACACGTATTGAGAATAGGTGTACTGAGGTTGGAAATTTTGTTGAAATTATATCCTTGTTTGACTGCAAGTATTTTTGAATATTCCGTGCCATAAAGAACTATCTGATCCATTCTAAAAGTATGAACAATAGAAATAGGAATTGTTGCTCTTTAGCAGTATTTGTCTTTTGTGCTAGTTGTGCTATTTGTCAGGGGCGGATTAGCAAGGTCTACAGAGAGTTTCTGTGGCAGGAATTCACCTGAGCTTGCCCTTCAACATATTTCCCAAGTCATCTTTATTGGACCTCTAGGCCTGAAGATATTTTGATTCATTTGCAGAGGATTATACCATACATAGGTACTGGCTGAATGCTGTAAATGTGTGCAATATATAAACCCTGCTTCCTGCCAGAGGAAAGATGCTGGCAATGGCTGCAGGTAGGAGTTAATTGTTTTGCTTGTACTAATGCCAAAGTTTTTGGCTTTCTGCAAAAGAGGCGCCATCTGAAATCCCACAGAAGAATATTTAAGTTGAACAAATTGTGGTGGAAGGTTGGCAGAAAGGGAGAGGAAGAAAAAGCTGTAATGTTTGGTGTAGACTGGAATGCTTCTGGTGGGAAGATCTGTTTGAAGAAGATTCTACTTTGGCCATGGTTATAGTATTGTGTTACTTATCTCCTTGAGTCTGTCCTGAGTAACTGTCCCAAAATAGAAGATGATGGTCTGGATTTGTGTCACATGTTGTAGTATTCATTCGATACTCCATTAAACAAAAACATGATTCTGTGGTCCCTGAATGGTGAGCCACATGGTTAATTCCTGTGCTTTGTTATGTATATTAAATACCTAGCCTTGGCTCAGAATTGGAACATGTTAGCACAGTTATTGAAACCGAAGCTGTAGACATGATTTCCTGTACAAATCTCAATGTATTAGCATTTCTTGATTATTTTGCATATCATTTGTGTTTGATTTGTAGCTTATTTAGACCTAGTTCCCATCAAACTGATGAGTTTCTGGAACTGGATTTGTATTTGTTTTTTAAAAGTAATAATATAATCAGCTGTGCTTTGCATCTTGTGTTTTCTTGCAGAACTAAAGATAGTATGTATCATGCACTGACTTATGCCACCATATTGGAAATGCAAGCTATGATGACATTTGATCCTCAGGACATACTGAATGCAGGAAACACAATGAAGGAAGCTCAAGCCACCTGTCAAAAGTAAGTGTGGAGCAGTTCAGTCAATAAATAGTCCCTTAATGGGAAAGTTTTGAAAGACATACAGGTTAAAATTTCATAGAAATCATAGGAAAACTGAGGTTGGAAGGGACATCAGGAGGTCATCTAGTCCAGCCTTCTGCTCAAAGGAGGGTCAGACCACATAACAGGGTTTTCAGCAGTCTAGTCTTGAAAACTTCAGTTTACTGCAATATGTGATTTTTCTTGTCGGTTAGATTTTTGTCCTATCTGTAGCCCCAGTTCTGCAGTGTCTGGAAGTTATTTACCATTTACAGACACTGCAGAATCTTCCCTTTTGGTGATGGTTGTATTGTAGCTAGCTGTCTTTGAGTCAACTGTGCTCCCACTTCTGTATACACGTGCGCACAAGCACACGTACACACACAGAGAAAATAAATCAAAAAGCCCCCTTATTCCCTTCCTTCATCAAGACAGATTTCCACACATGAAGGGTAAAAGACAGATCCCAGGAGGACCATGTTGACTAAGTTCTGTATGGAATATGCTGAAGTTTGTATATGTGGTAAGATGACAGAGGGTTGGTGGGCACTAGAGGTATGTTAGTGACTGTATGGCCAGCTGAAAGATACCGTTCTCTGTTGTTGATGCTTCATGTTCAGAATGACCAAACTGACTTTTCTGCAGATTTAGGAAGAAATCAACAGTAGCTGATTCTATCAACAACCTTGTGCATAGACAAAGCCTTGAACACTTTACTGAAGGTAACGTTATCTCTAAATGCATAATGTTTTCATCTTTTTTTTGCTCCAGTTTGAATTGGGTAGAATTGTTCACCCAGTGTGTTTTTGCAGATTGTGAGTTCACTGACAAAATCTGTGGTTTGGTGTTTCCAAAATTGCTGAATCGGTGTTTTGGCAATTGCTGTGTCACCACATCCAAAATCACTAAGTTTTTTTGTTGGTTTCTGACTCAGCATTTCAAAAAATTCCTGGGTAAAGAAATATCTAGAAAGAAGTAGGGAAATGCCTAGAAGGGTTCTAGATCCAGGAATTCCTGGAATGTTTCTGTAAATGTGTATCATTACTGTTTGGAGTTACTTCAGTAGTCTAGAACTGAAACACTACAGCAAATTTCAAAAAGATTTTTCTCCGTTTAAGCTTTGTGATCTTATTGCTATATTAATGGGCTAAGTGGTTTTTAATTATTTTTTGTCTGATTGATTTTTTTTTTCTTCCCCGCTCCATGTGACACTAGAGGAAATCCATGCAGAAATTTGCTATGCTGAATGTTTACTTCAGAGAGCAGCACTCACATTCCTCCAGGTATGGATTCCTGCATGGCTCTTTGGGAGAAAAAAAAGTACACACCACACAGGTTTCTTTTCTTAAAATTAATGAAATGGTAGAAGACCCTAGTTTGACCTAATGGTGTAAGACTCTCTCATCTGGATTAAATCTGGATTTTATCTGGACTATCTGCTGATGAGATAGTAGAATGTTTTGTTATCCCTCATGATTGTCTAAAAATGCTTATCTCAATACACATAGCACTGAGTCCCCTATCATGCCCTTCTCCAGTCCCTTTTGGATGTGTGAAATGAACTGCAGTAAGCACCAATTTTCAAGTACTGTGTGTTGGGATATCAGATTTAAAAAAAAAAAAAAGAGATAGTCAGTGAAGCTGTGCTATGCTGGAATGCAAGTGAGATTTTTGTTTCAGTCAGGCTGGTGTTTGCTTTCCCAAGACTGCTTTCTCACATGTTTGTTCTTGAACAGCTATTATGGTCTGCATAGCTATTAGACTCCACACATGCTTTTTGCTAAACAGTGCTGCCTGTCTTTAAAAGAAAGGGAGCTCTCCCTCTTCTTTGAATTTTATCTGTCTGTACTAATGAAGCTTGATTTGTTTGATGGATCAACATTAGCCATATTTAGCTGGGCTCCAGCTTGTAATTTAAATTGTTAGTCATAGTTGGGATAACTGATTTTTCTTCTTGATTTGGCTATACTTGCTGTATGGCAGCGGGCCTCTTCATCTATGCAGAGGGGATAATAAAAGTCACATTCACAAAGGGCTTCTGCTTCTTGGCTCGAAGACGCTGATAGAGAATGAAATGCAGGTGGTGATTTTATAGTGTTTGGGAGTTGCCAGATGGGCTCTGATTTATGTTGCTTATGATAGTTTATGAACCATGTAACCTTTTTCAGTGATACGCCATGCCCCTCTGCTAGAAACTATTGCTTCATAGCAAACCCAGTAGTCAGAGTAGCTTCTTCTGAAGGTTTTTAGAGTGCTGATGATGGTGACTTTATGGTAAGATGATGGACTTTGAAATGGCCAAGGTGTAGCTACCTATTTCCATATTCCTTTGGGATTCTTTGGGATGAGTAGCCTCTAGCACTGGGGATGGTTCAGGTGATATCTGAAGTTATGGAAGCAAGGCTTTTCAGAACTTCTCCATTCTGCCTTTAAGAAAGGAGTGTTTTAAGGCAGTGTCTCTTGGTTTTAAGCACCATTTTCACAGATATCTGTTTTAAAAAATGTTTATAGATACATGAGAGATTTAAGAGTAAGAAAATAATTTCTTGTCCTCTTCTGCATAAAGAATGTCTGTCTATTTGCTTCCTCTTCTGTGTTTAATTTTTGATGAACATATGAACTGGTTTTAAAAATTAAACAAAGGCATTTGGTTCCAACAGCCAGCAAAGTGGGTTAGTTTTGACGCTTAATGTAAATGACCAAATCCAGTTAAAAACCCATAAAAATTAGTCTCAGGATTTTTCAAGGGCTGGACTAGTCTCACGTTGGTTATCTCTCTTGTTGGTATCATGAGTATTCTGAATTTAAACATTTTAAAACCATCTTCTTTCGTCTTTCCATTTTCCATTCAAAGGAAAATATAACTGAACCTTTAAATATGGTTAGGTATGCTGTACACCCCCCATTTGCTAATTAAAAACTGACTTTTTCTACAGAACAAAGAAAAACGGGATCACATTTTTCTGTTTTTATTTTGTTTGCATGTGATTGGGATTCAAGTCTCTGGGGATATATCATCAGGAATTACATGTTCATTTATGGTGCATAGTTTCTGTCCTCAATTATCACTCTTGATAACGTTGCTTAAGGATGACTGTAAAGGACGCAGGCTAATGGTGGTGTTGCAGGCTGCAGGAGTAAGCCCCTGCCCTTCAGTTCAGGCCATTAGGCTTCCTATACTAGTTCACAGAAAGCAGTCTGGAAGAAGCTGAACTGTAACTTTGATTGGATTGAGTTATCTTCCTGACTTACAGCAGGATGGAAAGCTCTTTGAGGCAGGCTCTGTCTCTTTATTTACATATTGATGAGCACATTTGGGCCCTGCTTCCTTAACAATAACAGTAAACCAACCAAACGTTCATCTAATCTATGCTATTTTCTCCATAATGCTTCATACAACCTCTTAAAATATCATCACAGAAAAATCATCTGCTAAAACGTATGTAGTCTTCCTATCCCAAAGTAATAGCAGATATCAAAACAAATCAGAATGACAGATTATATACAATGAGTGAGGCAAGAAATTGCCACCAGAAAGTTATGAGACTGAAGAGTTCTCTCTTTGGGATACAACTGTAAACTAATGGTCCCCCAGATACACTTTGCTGTAAGTTCTCAGTTCATTATAGCTTGTAATGTAACATATTACCATACTAGTATGAATCTCATAGGTACTTGAATATTCAGACCAGAAAGAGCATATCCTGTATAATTTTACTTACCCTGCTTCCTTTTTAGGATGTGAAAATATATTCTGTAGACTCCTGAGGACAGGCAGTTATTTGTATCTGGTGCTGAGCCAGGCAATGTTCAGGTCTTAACTGTGCTGAAGGACAAATGACAGAAAGCTATTTTTTGAAACAGCCACAAATGCGTGTACCTTAGGTGCCATTCATTAGCTTAGTCACCGTGTTCATTAATGCAAATTTAGATGGCCCGAAGGTCAGAGGGACTAAACTAATTACAGAAGGCATCAAAATAAAGTGTATATGTCTGAACACAATAAAAATATTTTAATATAGAAAGGAAATCCTACGTCCATGTATTGTTTCTCAGAGACTTATATTGTCTGTGTCACGATGGTTATGTTCAAGCCATGTGCTCATCTCAAGAAGACAAAAGCTCTTTATAATGCTTACAAATTCACATTGCTAATGTGTTTCCTTTCTAACAGGATGAGAATATGGTTAGCTTCATAAAAGGAGGCATCAAAGTCCGAAACAGTTACCAAACATACAGGTAAGTCAGAGTGATGCTGTGATCAAGCGTACTCTTTCAGTAAAAAGTGCTGCTGGTCGAATTGTCCAATTCACAAATTAATTACTGTTGTATTTATTGCAGTGTTTATTATGGGCCTCCTCTCTATAGCCTTTCTCGGCCCACAAAAGTTCCTCCTTTGCATAACATAGGACCTTGATATTATGGTTGATTTGGTTTGTAAAGATAGTGGACCCTAACCCTGTTAACTCCCAAGATTTGCCTACTTTGCAAATACTATATGCTTGAAATTAAGTAAAAAAATAACTGTTCTAAACGACTTAGTGCTCATTGTGTCTGCATAGCATAATTTGGAAGTCCTGCAGTCATTAGGCATATGAAATGGCATTTCTTTATAGATCTAGCTGCAACTTTTTAGAACATTCAAAACCAGTGGCTGAAGCACAAGTAATTCCATAATAAATGCATGAAACTAAAACAAAATTAAGAGACAATAAACCGAAGAGCTTGCAATGGAAAGTATAAATGGCTTCAAACAAAGATTAAACAAATGTACAGGAAATAGGTTTATAGGGGCTAGTTAGCATGGTAGAACAGATACAGTCTCTCCGTGTCATGAAGTCCCTGAACAGCCAGTTCCTAGAGGAAGCTTTTCCAAGCATATGCCACTGTCCCAGTGAAATATTTGGTTAGCTGGACTTGTAATCTGGTTAAGTATGGCAGTTGTTCTACTCTAAAGAGAATGTGCATGCTAATGAAAATGATAAACAGGGTTGCTTATCTGAACTCACAATATGCCCATTACTTGGTGTCTATAAGCCAAAAACATCTGCTTAAGCTGATTTCTTTTCATCCCGGAAGTTACGGAGAGCTACTTTCAACATGTGCAAAAGGTTTTGAAGTGCAGTAGTAAATTCTAAAAATTACATTAAAATGTACACCATGGGAAGCATACTCAGTTGTGCCTCAATAAATTAAGATCAGCTCTAGCATATGTAAAAACAAAGTGTTACAAATCTAGTAGCTCCTAGGTGGTCTTCTTCAAAAGAATGCTAATAACAACTTGCATATTACTAAAACATGTATTTTAACAAAGATAAAGTTTGTATGCAAGACTGGCAGTTACGATTTTTGTACTGTACCTTTGATGTGGGAAGAAATAATTGTTTGCAGTTTTGGTGAGAGCGTGGTGCAACAGGTTACAGAGAAAACAATGAAATATGGAAATGAGACTTTATTTGCTTGATCAATATTTTTACAACATAGTTTCTGATATAAAAAGCCATCTTTCCTTTCCCTGCTGTCAACAGTACTGCTTGATAATCTGCAACAACACTAACCCTGAAAAGACAGGAGGAGTAAATGTTGCAAAGATACAATTTTTAAAACTCTCTTTCAGGGAGGAAAGGTTACCATACACCGTAAAAAAGATGGAATGAAATAAAACAATAATTCAGAATGAAACATTTGCTTATTGTCAGTGAATAAAAAGTATCAGGAAACTTTCACGGTGGTACAGACTTATATGAATAATTTAAAAAAGTAAAAGCCGAATATGTGTCATATTTTGTTTTATTTTAGAACTGTAAATTTGGACTCAGAACAGCCACAAAAAGTCATGTGTCTAGCAGACACAGAACAGCATCCAGCCCAGGTTCTCCAGAAATATACTGAAAGGGAGAGAGGTGACTGTGTCCATATTTGTGTGGGTTGAAGGTGACTCTAAATGCAGGTCCATTGTAAAGACTGCAATTACAATGAATAGTCCTATATCAGTTGGCAACAACCAGCAGCTAAAAACATGACAGCCTGAACACAAATATGTGATTGCCATTAAAACAGTGTTTTTCTTCTCCTAGTAATTAACAAGATAAACTAAAACAATAGTGTGAAAAACACATAGCTATGGAAAGCTTAGAAACAAAACAGGTTCAAATCCAGCTGGATTACACAGGGAAATAAAGAGACACTACAAAGTTGAGATCTATGAAAGTTAGAAAAATAAGTGAAAAGTGATTTCCGATATACCTGCCCATTTAAAAATATGTATTACAGTTGTCTTCCCATATATAAAAAAAAATGTTCTTTTGAGTGAATAGGCACAAAAAGGGAATACCTAATCCAGGGATTAGTGAAATTCAAATCAAATTTGCTAATTTAAATTTAACTCTCCTGCACTGCCCCATCATCTCTTTTTGCAGTAGTAAAGGTTGGTGTTGCTCCCAACAGCCATTCTTGAAACATTTTCAGGCAGAAACGTGGCTGCAAATTGACTATGTCTATTTGCCAGGAATTCATCTCCAGGACTCCATAGTTTTGAATTGATAGTAATGTGACAGCAATGATAAATCCAACAAAATGTTGTAGGTGGTGTTCACCTGGGTGAGATGACAAATTGGCCTTTTTTGAACTACTATGTAGTTCAAGGTAATTGGGTTACTTTCTTACTGCATTGTAATTAATAATTTTATTTGCTGACAATGTAACAGAATCTTGTGCATTTTCAGGGAGCTGGACAGTCTCATACAGTCTCCACATTATGTCAAAGGCGAGAACCATCTTCATTTTGAGGGAGGTGTAAAACTTGGAGTTGGAGCATTTAATCTGGTATGTACCAACAGTTCTTTTCTTGAGCTTTCGTCCTACAACCTCCTGAAAATGTTCTTCACTTAAATACCTGAGAAGTTCCACTGACATCAGTGTTACTAATCATACGGTTAAAATTAGGTATGTGCGCTGACGCTTGCAGGATCCCAGTCTCTGGTCTGAGAACATCGGATAGTAATACACTTCAGAGATAAAGAGACTACTATGTGCAACATGGGCAATACTACTCAGTGTGTGCAGACCCACTAGCTCATCCTCAGGGGGAAATTATCAGCTGAGAAATTATCTCATCTGACATGGGCTAAGGGCATGTTCTTTGAGAATATAGCTGAGTGCCTGTGCCCAGCTTCCAGTAAGGGTGTTCATTAGCCAAGTGGCCAATGCTTGTGAGGCATTTGGAGGGGAAGGTGTTATAGTCTCATGAGAAGGGACCCACTGGGATGGGAGCCAGGAGAAGCCTTGCACAGAAGCAGCAGTTGCCTGTGCTTGTTGGCTTCCATTTACTGTTTAAATGGCACTTGGGAAGCAACCAGGGACTTGGCTGTTAGCAGGGCAGTTGGTGGGGCAGGGTGCGTGAATGGGGCCTTGGGTGCTGTTCAGGCCACTGTTGGCTGTTGTTGCTTGTATTCTGGTCAGAAAGCAAATAGTGCAGGGTGGTTTCTGGTATGTCAGAGGTGTTGACCCAGAGATGGTGAGGAGTGACATGGTTGTTCAGGTGATGGGCTGCAGAAAGTGCCTCGTGCTTCCCCGTGCTTGCATTACTTCGTGTGAGTCTGGCACGTGCCCAGATGTTAGATTTACTGCACAAGGAACAAATACGTACTGTGTGGTATGCACCCAGTATTTCTGAAACATTGGAGGAGTACTAGAGTTACTAAGCATGTGCTCTGTAAACATATTTCTATGCGGGGAATCCTGGAGACACAGGGCTCCTATATTAAACAGATATTTCTGTTTAAATCATATGTAAAATATGGCAGGTGTATACATTTACTCAAGAAATCTTCAGACATATAAAGATGTTTTTAGTAATTTTAGTGATTATTTCTTGTGTTTGGAAAAGTTGTAGGAGGCAGCTGGTAGCTGAGAGGCAGAAAGTATATTACTGCATAACTGTTGCATTTCTTTCTATAGACATTGTCCATGTTTCCCGCACGGATTCTGAGATTACTGGAGTTTGTTGGATTTTCTGGAAACAAGGTAAATGTGATCTAAATATTATTGGTACATTCCCCTCACTCTTAAATTAAAAACTGGAGACAGGAGTTTCTCTCTTCTTCCTCACAGTAGCTGTAACCCTCTGAAACACTCTGATTGGTATCACATGTGCACTGTTGGCACTGATGCTTTCATGCAGCTCAGTTTTCCTTTATATTTTTGTCTGAACTATTACACTTCAAAGATTGTGATACCATTGTTCAATGATGATACAGTTGTGAAACATAATAAAGACAATGACTAATACAATGATGTTGACATATTTAGTTTTTTAATTACTGGTCTTTTGATGTATGCTTGTGCTTAGAAATCCGTAGCCAAAAGTGTATTCTTAGCCTTTAATATATTAGCTTACTTGAGAGTTACTGTCATGGTATCTGAATGTCCCTGATAGGTTCCTGCATGACATCCAGTTAGGGAAAAAAAATTCCATTTCTTTTCTGATTTTTTTTCTCCATGTCTTTAATAGCAACTGATAACTTGAGTGTGGCACCTAAATTCTCTTTGCCTAAAAGAGTAAGTGCTTTTTTGCCTAGAGAGTAACCAGTCTGACCTATGTTGTTTGTGCATGCAGTTTAAGGACAGAAGTTTAGTAATGAATCACCAGTAAACTTGCATGAACCTGAGTTATTCTGCAGGGCTGATGCACAGAAAGTGCTGTGTTAGTTTTTTGTGGATTTGTTGTTTCAAAATAGGATACTAAATTCATGGGAATATCTTGGCCTTGATACCTTGTACCTGCCCTTGTCTCTCATTCTACCAGCAGAACATGAGATTCACTCAAAGTTGGGTTCCTGGATAAAGAAAACATGGTCCGTTTAACCTAAACCACTAGTCATATTTATACAATAAATGCTGGGTATAGTAAATTTTTGATGTCGTACAAACACAACAAAAGCTGTATAAGCAAGTTAAAACTTAACTCTTTTGTAATGCTTTCTATTTCCAAAACAAGTTTCAAGGAGAAAAATGTTTCCTTCGTCAGAGCTGCAACCTTACCTGACAGGTGGATGAGTGTCATCGCCATTTTATTAGTTTACAGGAAGGATCTTAGATCTGAAAATAAAATGTCTTGTTTAAAAGCAAGGAGCTTTTGGCAGAGTGTGGATTAGACCATGGAAATTTCCAGGAGCTGACCAGGAGCTGTTTCACAAGCAGTAGAGGCAAAAATCAAATAGTCCTACCTGTCAGTTACGAAAACAAAGAGCATCTAAAGCAAAATATTCTCCTAGAAATGTAAGGCCAATTCCTATACCAGCAGAGTTCTGAGAATACTTTGCTGAACACTCATGTTATTACTGCAGATGAAAATTGTCCCTCTAATTGAATTTCTGTTGTTTTCTTTTGGCCCTGGGATTTCTTGTATGGCTATGAGTGGGCTGATATTTGTGTTGATGAGTCAGCTCCTGTTCCAGTTTTGTAATAACTCACTGAAGCATGACCTAGATTATCATAAATTTAAGCAAAAACGTGCTGTCTGCACACCATAAAAAGGAGTATTTTAAACATGTTGATCAAAGTTCATTGATGGTCATTTATTTTAACATCCTAAAAAAGTCTTTCTGCATTTAACATTTGTGAGTCAGATGCCTAAAGCAAAAGTAAAATCGCAATTGCATTTGCAATCCTTTCCAGTGATGGTTTTCCAAAGCTTGCAAGATGAAGCTGTCCTCTGCAGTACAGACAAGAGTCTAGAAGGTGAAAGAAACAGTGACAGAGGAGGAGAGGGAAAGTTTGTGTGTCGTGTGCTGCACCCCATCCAGAAGAAAGGAGTTTTGAATCTTTGAATACATCTGTATTTGATCTTGCAGTCTTTTCCATTAAATGCTCACGGTGAGCATCAGACTGTGCGAAAGACAAAAGAGCCATGGTTAGTGCCTTGAGCTGTTTACAGTTTACCTGAGAGAGCTACAGTGCACTGGAGGACAGCTTGCTTTTGGTATGGGTCATGTGTTTATTAAAACTGGATATAAAATTGCATTGCGATATCTTCCACAATACTAATCTGCCTTGAAGCCAGCAGATTTGCCCCTAGGGACTCGTCTCTCAGACATGTCATGTCTGGTAGTAAATGAGGACATGCCCAAATCTCCATTACTTCCTAAGCCATTTGTGGGCACTGTGGACAACATGATCAACTTAACAGCAGTCTGGAGTCTCAAAATAGTAGGTAGGATAAGATCACTAAAGTACAAAAGTAGCCTGAGGCCACATTTGTTCCCTTCCAGTCCGAGATGTGCCAGTTGTGCCCTTCTCACTGTTCAAGCTCCTTTCCCCTGTATCATTAGTCAAAATATGGGCTTACTTGTGTTTAATGGCATAGGCTCTGCGTTTGGGCATTGAGGTTCAATGCAGTTTTGCCCAATTCCGTGAGAAATTTTTTGTGGGCAGAGGTATGTATTACATATCATCAGGTACACTGTGCTGGAGTGGCATGCCTTCCTCACTCACTGGGCCGTACGTGGAGTACGTGTCCCATCTGGACTTTTTGTGTTTAATGATAACTAACTTCTGGTGTGAGATCAGAAGAGTCCTTGTGCTATCACCCATATGAGCACCGAACCCTTCTTACTGAACCCTATGCCAGGTCTCAAGCTAATATTTACTCTTGTTCTTATTTTATAGACCACTACAAATACTGTGCTGCTAAACTGTAGAAAGGTTTGACATGAGCCCACCACATGTTAAGTGCTGTTTGTCAGAGGGTCAGCTGACAGCATGATTTCAGGGGAAGGCAGGAAAACTTCCAGGTAGAACTAATTTCTTTCAAATTATACTTCGTGATGTGGGAGGACGTTCTTCCAAAAGCAGCTGAGCTGAAGAACATTTTTGATGTCTCAATTTGTAATGAATTGAGTTTGTTTCCCAGTAAGCATCTTTTTGATTTGCATTTTGGTCTCTTCTGCAGATTTTAAATGAAGGCTAAATCTAAAATTATTTCATGGGATACATTTAAATGCCCCATCTACCAGTTTAATTAGTCAATTCTTCATAAAAGCTGTTAGTAGTATTCATCCTTCTTGCTAAGCCTGCAGTAATGTGATCAGGTTATGGGACATGACCTTGCTTTGCTTCCATTGTCAAGATCCCTAATTAAAAGACAGTGATTTTAAAATATCGTTCAAGAGCTTTCGTTTTGGGGAAGTAGATGGATTTCAGCCAGTGACAGCTGAAATAAATATGAACTAGTCTCAATGCTGTCTGTCCTTGTTTGTCCTGCATTCACTGTGGGAATCCCCGCTGCTCTTGTGGGGAGGCCTGAATGAGAGAGCACTGGATGTCTTGGAACAAGGATCGAATCAATGAGATACTGACATAATATAATGTAGTGACAGTCTTGGTAATTGTGGGATGTTATGAGCAACTTGCACAGAAAGGTGAGAGTTATCGTATTGGATCACATTTGTCTCTAAGAAATGTCGTTGCTCCCTGCTCTGCATTATACATTGTGCCCTTCAGAGTAACTTACATTTTGTGTGAAAACAAAACCTAAATGTGTTAATGTCAAATATTTTGGAGAAATTACAAGGACTTTCTGCCTTGACATCTGTTTTATATTGTAGCAATACGCCCTGTAATACACTTTGTATGGAAGCTCGTTCCTGGTGTTCTGGGATTGCTCATATCACCCGTGGCATAGGTGTGGGAGATATTTATGGGTTATTTATGGTTAGAAGGTGTATCCTAACAATTAAATGTAATATACTCATTTAGTGACTGGCAGCAATGAGTGTAGTTTGTTTACGGCGTTGCTTCTTAGGCTCAAGTAGTAGCTGCTTGTGATTTGATTCCAAGATCCTCGGTGTGATCCCCAGTGAGGATTACATGAGTATAATAGCATTGCCCAACTCAGGACACCTCACTTAGCTGATTAGGTTTGCTGGCTAATCTCCATAGGCTCCCCATGGAGAAAGAGTAGGTGCTTGAAAAGGTGATTCATCATGTCTGACCTAGGCTTCTGTGCTGAATTGTTCCTTGGAGGTGTATCTCTGTCTCTGCCAGCCACAGAGGGAGCCTAAGGAGACTGGCTCCTTAGAATGTGGTATCTAAAACATGTTTCCCAGCGACATCCTTCGCCATCCCACTTTCCTGGGGATCTCATCGTAACAGAAGTAGTTCGCAAGTTTTTTGAGGAGAAGCAGCTTTGTTGCAGCCTTTTCTACAAGCAAGCGTTGCAATACTAACAACTGCTTCTAGATTTCTTCTTCTTCAGACTGTGTCTACTGATTATATTGCTACTTTAATATAGAAAGTTTGGGGTATTCAAGTGGCAGGGTGAAAAGTAAGCGTTCTTTAATGCCTGTACTGGACAAAATAGGATTATGGACATACCACAGAGTGAACTAACTTGCTCAGTGAGGTTCCCATACCTGTGTAACTACTCAGTTTAAGAATTTAGGCTCAAGTATGCCAGATTTGCAGCCCTCTTCTGATAAATGGGCAATGTTCCTAATTACTTCACACTTCACCGTTACTGCTTTCCAGGATGCAGTCCCACATAGAATGGGGTGGATTGCATTCCTTGTCCATACAGATGATAACTTTGTGCTTGGCTGTATTAAAATATATTTTTGGGACTGAAATACATAAGTGAGATCAACTTCGCAAATGATTAAATTATTCTGTATGACTAATATAATTTGTTTCTGTATCATTCTTAGTGCCATTCACAAATGTGATCAGCAGCCATTTGATATGTATTTTTATATTATATGGAAGATACAAACACTGTAAGGCCTAGTACTGATCTCAGTAAAGGCTCAGTGAAATATCTAGCCTGAAGATTTTTCAATTAAAACAAATGTACTTTGGAAGTCTACTTGGGAATTTTTTTTCTGCCAAAATGCATCCACAGAATTTTTTTCTCTTACTTCTACCTTGCAGTGCTACTTTTTTTTAAATCCAAATATTTGTGGTTTTCATCTGGGCAGTTTAAGGAAGCCGAATATATCATATTTTGTTACTTATCTGTATCAATCAAACTTTTGCTCTCAGCAGAAAATGAAGTTGGCTTTATTTTGCCGAGTGCTTGATTTCCATTAAGTTGTTGATTTTCAGTAATGATTTTACTATCTTTTAGTTTCTTCTGAAGTGATAATGCAAGTCAATATTTTCATTATTTTGTCCAGGCTAGATGTTATACTAATTGACCTGCAAATATGTGTGTTAATGGTACCTTTCCCTATAACAGTAATTACTGTAATAAATTAAGATTTTTTTAAAAAATAGAAAATAACTGTATTTATATGAAAACAATTAACCATACTATTTAAGTGAAAAAGTACATATGTGATGAAAATTAGAATATGATTACAGGCTTCAGGGTTTACACAGTAAGTGGTAAAGCTGAGGTAGCATAACACCCATCCGTCAGCAAGGACGTGCAAAAGATGAAAGTCTGTGTTAAGATCATGCTCTGAGTGCTGTCTCTGATACTTTCCGCAGTGGCTCCGATAGACATCCCTCAGGGTCCCTATTTATAGTGTAGCTGGTTTGAAAGGATGTCCTTATAGTCACATACATCATGTTCCAGTAACTTTCCATTGCAGTCGTAGTGTAACTTTTGAACAGGATTTTTGCCAGCACACAGTGGACGTCTTACTGTGCATATTTACTAGTAGGCAGATCTCATGTTTTAATGTGTTTGCGTATTTATGTTCCTGCTGTTGATATCATGGAACCAGCCCTAGAATGGGCTGCTAAATGCTGTTGCCTCAGGAGCTTGAATCATTAAAGCTGGCTACCCGTCTTGCTCTCGTTGAATATGAACACAGCGTTATACTTGATTGCTTTAGTTCTTCCCAAAGGGAACAGAAATATTCTTCTTTTCATCATATTTTTCCACTGGTGGTCATGGGCCAATATCATTGTAAAGCTCCTTTTGTTCTTAACATACTTAAAAACATCCTTTTGCCCTGTTATCCTTTGCCCTGCTAGTTGCAGATTTTTTTTTTCCTTGGTATCTTTAACTAGCTTATGCAGTGAATAACAACAAACATGGATACAGTGCACAATGGCAATATGTGTTCTTTGCCTTGCATTTCAAAACTCTGTGGTTTTTGTTTCTGGAATACTGTTTAGCAGCACTTGGATGATGGTGATAAGTTGTCTAATGTTCTCTCATGTTAACTATGTCATAAATCCCAAATTGCTGCTCTGTCATTGCATGTTTTCCAGGCTAAGCAGTAGCTCCATGAAAAACTGTTAGATAATTTCATATGTGTGTTTTTATCTTTGATTGCTATATCAGCAATGTATGTCAGTGCATTTTGGGAATTTGGTGAGTGAGCAATCTGTAGATGACACTGCAGAAGTTAAAAAAGTAGCAAAACACAGCTTTGGTTCTTTTCCAATACTTTGTCCTCCTCACCTCTGTTTGCACAGGAGCATGGTCTGCTGCAGCTTCAAGAAGGAGCATCATCATACAGCTTTAGGTCGGTGCTGTGTACCATGCTGTTGCTTTGCTATCATACTTTCATGACCTTTGTGTTAGGTAAGATTGTTTATAATAACTCTTGGATTTGATTAGTTCTTGTGGGACACAGAGGGGAAAAAGATGATTCCATCAGCTATTTGTTGGTGAATTGTTCATGATCAGATTAAATAGAACTCATTTGTGGGTGATTGCACAATACCGGATTTGAGATACAAGATATATAATATATATATAATACAAGATGGAGATTGGTTTAACACATAAGAAGGGAGACGATGGGGATAGCAAAGGAAGTTGTGAGAACTAAATCCGTCTTCAGTAGTCAGGTGCATTATTTGGGAGGTTAAAATAATGGCTGTAAGTGATGAGTTCCTGAATACTTTGTTCTTGTTTATATGTCATGACTTTTTTGGGAAGTGATAGCTTCCCGCTGAGATACAATTCCCTGTTATCTCCTGCTAAAGCATTCTACAAAATGTGTTGGGCTGTGCATAAATGAGTTTTCAAGTCAGTAAACACAATGTTGTTCAGGTCTTCCTGCTTGCTGGCTTAGTGCAACACCAACCTGTATTTATGCCTTACTTATCAGAGAGAGGAACTTACATTTTGGCCAGATGAGGATGGCTGATCAGTACTTTGCATTCCTGTTCTTTTTGGTTTTTTTCTTTTTTCTTTTCTTACTATTTTTATCACTTGCATTTTTATGCATTCTAGGGACAGGAAAAGGAAATGTTGAGGAGGCAGAAAGACTACTTAAGCCTTACTTGGCTCGCTATCCAAAGGTAAAGCGAATCATAATTTAGTTTGATATGATTGTTTAATGTTTTCTTGCCAAATCTAGACTGTATGGTCAGCTTGAAAACTGTTATAGAATACTTGTATTTTTATTATTATTTATTACAGGGAGCCATATTCCTGTTTTTTGCAGGCAGGATAGAAACACTAAAGGGTAATATTGATGCGGTAAGTAATCCTTTTGCTCTTGGGAAAGTAAGTCTCAAAAGCTTCAGAAAAACTCCTCCAGGGACAATGTTTCCTTTTTGGCTAATACTTCCTGTGGCTTTGGCCTATATGTAATTTATAGTTTATGAATTACAAATAGGAATTTTGAAAACTATTTTGACTAGCTTGTTTGACCAGCTTGTTTTGCTACTCTTCTCAATTTCTGGTGATGATCTAGTCCGCCAGTATTAATGACACAGTTTTCTCATGGTCTTTCCTATCCAGAAGCAAGTTGTGCATTTAATAACATCCAGTGGTAATCCTTTGCCTTCAGTCTGGGTGGAGAGTCATACAAGACTTGAAAGAATTAGGGAGGTGAAGAATGCGTGTCCAAAATACTCTTGAGACAGAGTATCAGCTGGTGTGCAGTGTGGTAGCTCCCTTGAAATCTTTGGAGCTGCAACAATAAATGTCAGCTGAGCATCTGTCCTTTGACTTTAGTTTCCTAATTTCCCTAGACACAAACATTCATTTTGCCTATGCTTAGGACTTAGTATAACTTCCAAGAATGGGGAGCTCTGTGGCAGGGGTAGACTTGCTAACACTAGGGTGACTGTGGAGCCAAGGATCTCATGTGTGCAGCCAACAAGACGTGATTTTGGGGAATACTGGGCTGTTAATAATTTGGAAGTTGCAGGAGCCATGCCGGCAGCTCATGGAGCCCCAGTGTCTGTTACAGCACTGCTGTGTGTGCATTTACATGTGATTAAGGCAGTATTTGGAAATCTCTGTGTTCAGGCAGTTAATAGGTATGAAGAATGTTGCGAGGCTCAGCAATACTGGAAGCAGTTTCATCACATGTGTTACTGGGAGCTCATGTGGTGCTTCACCTACAAGCGCCAGTGGAAGATGGCTTTCTTCTATGCAGACCTGCTAAGCAAAGAAAACACTTGGTCAAAGGTAAGTTAATCGGAAGAAGAAGGGCAGAAGGCCCTGTAGTATCTATTAACTTTCAATCAGATTGAGTTGACTTTTTGAAGCTTTGAAGCTTTTGTAGCTTTGAAGATGAAGATTGTAAAACAAAACCTGGTCTGCTGTGGCTCTTACAGAACAATGGGAATTGCAAACATTCAAATCTGAACAGATTGTGGACAAACAGGAATGTTTTGGGCCTGACTTGTAGATGAAGAACAGCTTGTTAAAGATGTTCTGCTGTGCATTGACTGGTTGTGTCATCAACACATTGCAATTGATGGCGCAAGTTGCCATTTCTTTCATTACATTATGGATATAAGCTCTTTTGGTGATGAGTGAGGCTAGCCATGATGGTGCCTCCAGGATAATAAATATAATTACAAAAGGCTCCTTGCCCTGTGCGTCTGAAAGGGAGAAGCTCTTCCGTCCAGAACCCTGGTAGCTTTTCTCCTTTCATCTTCCCCTGAGCCCCAGGGAAATCTGTCAGAAGGGATTAGGTCTGGCTGGAGCGGGAGTGTGTAGTTGATTGGAGGTTTGTTTCTTCTTAATGTGATCGGACTATGTGTGTGGGGAGGGTATCTGTCTTTTTTCTACTACACATTGCATGTATTGGCCAAGTGGAACCAAAACCAAGATAAGGTCTAAGCAGCCAGGTGAGAGCAACTGTCTCGGTGCTCCCACTCGGGTGGAAACTGCAGTATGGACCCCTTGTGCCCCTGGGGATTCCAGCGACGCATTCAGCCAGGTGCATTAGTCTGAACAGCTTCCACAGAACTCCCACAGCCAGGGGTGCACCAGCTGGCTAAAAGCTTTAATATCCTGAAATGCTGTAGGATTAATATTAACGTGTATCCATTTAAACTGTGTGTAGAGTTTGATGCTATATTGCAGGGGCCTTAGAGAAGCAGAGAAGATGCTTCCTATTAGTATGTAATCTACAGTGCAACGTGATGGTAACAAACTAGTAAGTACATAAGCTAAATGAAAGATGTTCACGTATATGCACTGTTAGATTACGGTGTAAATAAATAATCACAGCTTAAGATATTCTAGAAAACTCCTGAAACTTATGGTTACCGTAGACTCCTTAAAGCAGTACTCAAGAACTCACCAGCTACTATTCTCTACTGTTGCAAGAGTTGAAACATCCTCTGCTGCTTTTCTTTCCTTGGTTGCTGAATGTATGATTGCTCAGGAATCCCTATGAAATCAGTACTTTTCATAATTTGAAATCATGAAACCCTTCAAAAACTGTGTCATGTTCTCTAGAACCTAATATTTGAGATATGCTACCAAGTTGTGATTGGACACATAGACAATATAGTAGGTTTTTTTTTTTTCTCTGAGCATGACCTTTTCATGAGTTTCCTAGCTGTATTCCTGAGAGTAATAAAAATTCACTTTACACAAACATGACATTTGTTCTTGGAACAGGGACATAAACTATAAGCTGATGCAAAGTAAACAAAGACATACATGATAAAAAAAATTTCTGTACTCCACTTTCTAAAATACCTCCTGCTTAAAATTTTGTAAGATTACATCTGTTTGTGAGCAAAAGCAGCAACTTCTTCCTCTTTGTTGCTGTTTTGTGCTTTATGTCAATAATGGTGATGCTGTAAATTCATTTTTCTGTACAGATATTCTTGATTGCATTTGCAGGCTACGTATATTTACATGAAAGCTGCTTATCTCAGTATGTTTGGACCAGATGACTGCAGTCCTTTTGGAGACAGCGAAGTTGAATTATTTAGGTAAAATTTGCAAACTCCCAGTTACAAGCGTTTCCTATCTTTTCAAGGCACAGTGTTGGGGGAAGAGAGGCAAAGCTATTCATTGTGCAGCTCAGAGGATCTGTGCAAGTAGCATTGGATTGGTAAGAAATTGCAGAATGAAACATTCCCTTAGACTAAAGCAGATCCTGAGTTCAGACAGCAGATTTCTACTGGCCTGGAAATACTTTAGAGACAGGATATTAGGTCTGTCAGCCATACAGTGGCTGCTGCTGTTGCATGTAATATTCACATTCTTTTTCAGTTTTTTTCTTTAATCAAAATGGCATGTAAGATCTGAAAGCCTTCAATGGATTATGCTACAACATGTGTGCTTCCTTAGTGGAGACAGCATCAGTACAACTTGATTCTTGCGCTTTGAGAGGAATATGAAATAGTTAAATGTGCAAGTGAATATATGCATTATTAACACAGTGAATAAACCTAATTGTAATGTTTAAGCTCAAAAATGCCTAAACTTTGCTGGGACAAAGAAAACTGATTACTTTGGTTTTTACAATTTTTCTGTAAAATCTAAATATCACTTTTTTATGTGCTTGCAATATATCGATACTTTTCAGGCCTTCTATATCTTATATAGTCATTACAAGGAGATTTCACTGGATTTGGGATCCATTACAAAGAGAAACAATTTGGTCTTTGGGAGAATGGGAGGAACACTGACAAAAGCTAGCTTGCTTCTTTCTTAGTCTCTGAAGAGAGATGGGCCCTTTATAAGTTAGGTGCATCATCTAATTTATTCTTTGGGTGGGGAAGAGTCCCTCTTCCTCCTGCTTGATTAAAGAGGGAGCCTAGAGAGATACATGCCCTGCATAAAGACAGCTTTTCTGAATATGTATTGCTCAGCTTCCCTAGAGGTAGCAGTAGCTCAGTGCATAACAGCTTTTTTAAGTTCTCTTCAGTTTGATTTTTTGGTTTGTTTTTTTTTTTTAAGTTTGAATGTTTTTTTTCCCAGAGGTTCACAGAGGAAAATTTCCTTGTTTTCCTTTAAACTTTCAGGATTGTTCCCAGTTTGAAACTGAAAATTGCAGGGAAATCACTGCCTACAGAAAAGTTTGCAATTCGGAAAGCTCGACGATATCTTTCTTCAAACCCCATTTCTTTGCCTGTTCCAGCTTTGGTAAGTTAGGAACACACACACACACACCCTTATTACCATTTTTTCATTTATGGAAATAAAACCAAGATAATTAGAATAGTATCTTTCCATGTTTCTAAGGTAAAACCTCTGCAGGAGACTGGAATGTTCCCAAAGCAAAGCCAAATGAATGCGAGGAATGCTGTAAAACTGGGGCATGCACCAGCCACAGGGAACTAAGCCAGTTGTTTGTGACACGTAAATGTGTTGCATGTGTAACTCATTATTCCAGCTATAGACTAGCATGCTCCTAACAGCTTTCCTTTGATTCCCTTTTGAGGAACTTTGCCCTAAGTCTCTTCTGTCATGTGTCATTTACTGAGACTACTAAAAGAAGACTTTAAGGTACAAGTTACGGGAGAAAAAAAATGAAGGAAACAATGCAAGAAGCAGGGACTGCATGTAAACATCTATTTGTTGTGCCTTTGAATGTGTGCAATTTGGTGCTCTCCAGAGCAACTCACAGGTGCCAGGATGAAACAGCCAAATCCTTTAGCCACTCCAGAAAACCATTGCATACTGTTGATTTTTTTTTTTTTCTTTTAATTTTTTTTTTTTGCCTGTAATGCTGGCCAGTTCCCTGTGGCCAAATGAGAACAGCTGCATAAGGCACCCAGTGCCTTGCACTTACAAAAATCTGTCTGCAAAGAACATGTAAAAGAACAGAAAAAGATTTTGACTCCACAGGTTTGCCAAGTGCAGTGGTGTTAACATTTGCAGTGTTTTGAGCTGTTGTGTTTGAGAAACAGATGGATGATTAGTAAATACTCTTTAAGAAAATGCCTGAACAAGGAGAGCCTCTTGGAGACACCAGTGAGTAGTCATTTCTCAGCCCACCAGCTGGGTATGTGACACAGTGCTTCTTGAAGAAATATAGTTGTTACAGCATAGCGTGGGTATTCACTAGGGGCCACTTTCCACTAAGTCATGAGACTGAAATGAGAGAAATAATTAGGTTACTTTGATTTGCCTTTCAGGTTTCAGAGATTGTAGAGAGTAAGAAATGTAGGCACCTGGGGTTTGGCTGGGCTATTCTAATGGGATTTTAGCAGAACAGATTTCTGTACTAAGAGCTCTCCTTGGCGTGGCCAGGCACTGCGTCCCGTGTTTCTGCTGCAGTTGCATTTCTGAGGCAGCAGATGCCGCAGCTGAACAGTTAAAAGCACTCTGAGGATGTGGAATTGGGTGCAGGATCTCATCTCTAGGATTTTTCTTTTCACTGTGAAGGGACTTGCTGAGAGGAGCAAGTCCTCAAGCAAGTCTTAGCTCAGAGATTTAGCCTAGAATAAATGTAGTCTGAGTATTTCTGTGTCAAAACCATGTTAACAAATCTGCACTAGGTACAGTAAGTTCAGCACAGGTTTTCCAATCAATAGAGGCCAGATGGTGAAAGCAACAGTGACTGGGGTTAACATACTGTTTCATCTATTCTAGCCTGACAGCTTTTTGTACTATAGTTCCAGAACTGAGTTATTCTATACAGAAATTTTATTGAAAAGCTTTAAATTATCAAGTACAGACTAGGTTATATAAATAAATATAATAACTTGTCATGAGGACCAGGCATAAGTCTGTATAATATTTTTGTCTTTAACTTTGTGTTTGCTAGTGGCAATGGGCACATTTGGTCTGGTGATCTACTCTAAGAGAGAACCCCAATAAGAAATACGAATGAAACCAATAGGTGTTAATAAAATTTACTCTAAGAACAGTTGAATAAGAAAGAAGTTACTTTCTATGGGAACATCAAACAAACCTGAGGAATTTAAGGGGTTTACAGTTTGGCTTTAAAATTCTGTTGGTTTGTTTGAAGCTTGGCTTAAAGGTTAGGGTTTTTCATTTTCTTTGTGTTTGGTTTTGTTTTCCTGAGACTTCATATTTTTTCTATGGAAGCAATACATTGCAGTTATTTATAGTTATTACTGCCCTGGCTAAGATAGAACTGAAAAACAAGAGGAGACCTGAATCAAGGGACAGTTAGCCATGTGCCATGAATGTTTTCAGTCTGTCTGTTTTGTTGGTACTTGCCTTCATCTATAAGTGAGATTGTGTTTGCATTCTGTTCAAGCAATCGTCCTTGCATTGTGTGTAGTAAATGGCTCTTTAGTTGTCTTCCGGGGCTAATTTGTACTGAAAACCAGTGTAACAAGTTTTCAGTTGCAATGAAAATATGTTTTGACAAACTGACTTTTTATTTAAGGAATCTGTAACTTTTTCATCACACAGAGATAAACTGAAGTATTTGATAACAGCATGTATCCAGTACTGTAATTAATGGTGCTGTCGTTTCTCTCTGACCCTAGGAAATGATGTATATCTGGAATGGCTATGCTGTAATTGGAAAATGTCCCAACTTAACAGAAGGCATGTTAGAGACTTTAATTGAAGCAGAAGAAGCATTGGCAAGAAGTTCAGGTAATCAGTGATATGGTTTAAGCAGGTATTTTACAGTGCAATAGCTGAAGATATTATCTGTGAATAAAGAGAGACACTCATTAGTAAAGTTAATCTGATCATAGGAGGAACATAGATAATGAAACCATAAACTGTTTATGCAGATAGGAATAATTTTCCTTTTTAATGTAGCAATAACTTACAATAGTAGCAAGTGGTTTTACATCCACAGATGTGTATTAGGAATAGTTTGACGTGTTAAAGGGATGTTTATTTTGCGAGATCAAAATCAGCATATGTATTGACTTGATTACTTGGATCATGAAACTTTGTTATCCTCAGATACTGTATTTCAGTTTTGAAGGATAAACAGAAGGAGACAAGTCAGTCTTCTGTTTAAAAGTGCTGTCAATTTATAATGTGTCCTTGGGCTGAATGGTATTGGTGTGTCGACAGTATGCTATAGAAAGCTGGGACATGAGGGATGGGTTTCCTTTGCACTATGAATGAGCGTAAGATAGAAGACAGTATTGAACTGGAACAGGCTCTGCTACCACATCTTCTGTCAGTCTGCTAATTAGGCATCCATGAGAAAGTTCAATTGATGTTCATTTCTTGCCAATCTTTCCCAACTCCTATGGGAGCACAACCAGTCTGCACAGCTTTTCTCACAAAGTTTTCCCTTACTAAATATTTTATCTTATTATTATATACTACCTTCCCACAAAAGGATCAAGCCCCTGTTGACAAAGGAATATGGGCTAAATCACTGCACTGCAGTCTTTTCTAGGACCTTGGTCTTCCTGTGCACATTCTTACACAAGATTTGAAAGAGTTACCTGAAAGACTGGCTAAAACTATCTCCTTTTCAATTAATTGTGAAAGAGAACAGAAAAATATTTCCAGTGAAGGTGACATCTTAGAAGAAGGCTTTTGACCCTTTCACTTTCTTTGTAACCCATTTTGCTACATTATTTTGAATAAATTATTTATTTCTCTATTCCATTTTTTTTGTAGATGGTAAATTGTGGATAAGGCTGGCTTTTTGCAGGGACTTGTAGAAGCTGATTCATGTTTATAAAACACTATAAGGACATGTAATCAAAAAGTGGGATATATTTTAAATATGCCAACAGTTTAAAGTATTACCTGTTCCAAATAGTGACTTGCTGTTTCCAGGCGTCATGCTTTTCTTGAGCTTTCCTGGCTGTGTTTGAAGCTAAACTATTGTATTTTCTCTATCTCACTGTTAGATTCATAATGCAAGCATCTAACACTATAAAATTATGAATCTGAGAATGTCCTCCTAGCAGTGTTATACCATATAAGATGTAAAAGGAAGACTGTTAGTGGAAGCAGTGTCTAGAAATGCAAATCTGATATGCACAATTGTGTCTAGGATAGGTCCCTAAATGTTTGCTTATACAATCCAGGGCAGTTTGTAGGATATGTTATAAGTAGAGAAAATACATACATGTGAACACGTTCGTGGGACAGATGTCCAGAAAAGACAACTGATCTGCCTTTTTTTAGTTATTCTTATGAATTACCTCTTCTGTGTCCCTGAGTCATCTCACTGTGCACATACTTAGCATGTCAACTTTTGCCCTCTTCCCTTTTCCTTCTAAGTTAATTTGCTGCATAGTCTTTGGGCATCCTCCCTGGGATTTGTGTTGGTGACATATGTATGTAGGTGCCTCTGTGGGACTTAGCAATAGAAGTGACTCCAGTTGTAGGATCAAGGCCTCCAACTGCATAGTCCAAAGGGAAGCAGCTGTTTCATGCAGTATGTGTCAGCATTTTATCAGCTGGAATGGTAGAGGAAGAACCAGGTATGGATTGGAGTAGTGGAAACAGGGTGACATTCAATAGCATAAGATGCCCGGCATCACACATTTTGCAGAAATTCGTATTGGCTGGTATTTTATGAATTGGAAATCAGCAAGCAAGCAGTAGATTTTGCTTGTGGACTTTAAGACTAAGCTGCCTATATGGAATGGCTATGAAAAAACCAGATGTTTTCTTTGAAATGTATCATGCAAAAATTTCCTGGTGGTGAAAGGTTGTTGTTAGTAATGACTTTGAACTAGGCACTGGTGAGGCTGGTAAGACTCTGGGCACTCATAGTTGGAAGTATAAACTCAGAAGAGGTGAAAAGAAGGTAGGATAAGAAGAAGAGGGGATGTGAGGTCCAGGTAGAAAAGTTTGGCATATTTTTGTTTAGCCAAACAAAGGTGGAGAATTGATAAAACACTTGCCTATGAATAGACCATGTGACTAGAAGTCAAGGAAGGAGAAGAGCTATACGTACTAAAGGGCAATAAAGGCATAAGGTTAAGAGATTATTAATTGGACCTCAGTATTTCCAAAGTGGACACTTTAAATTAGTTTTTAGGTGTCAGAATAAGATTGTGGACTAGCCTTTCAATGGGAGTAGGGAGAGAAAGAACAAACCAACAATTTTAGGCAAAGTTTGATTGATTTATGAAAAGGTTGATGCATGTGTGTCTCTGCATTAAATCACTACATTGACCAGTTAGTTCCTTCTGTCCTGTGTTCCAGTAAATGGATTGTGCTCACACCTACCTGTGTAAAAGTTTTCCTACGGGTAGGAAAGTCTGTGCTGCTCTAGAGTTTTCTAAAATGTGCCATTTACTTCATCCTGCAGCTACAGAATTGCTAGCAGATGACCAGTGCGTGATAAAACTGTTAAAGGGTTTATGCCTCAAGCATTTGGGCAAGATCTTAGAAGCAGAAGACCATTTCAATTACATCTATTTAAAGTAAGTTTTCATACCTGGCATATAGGAGAGCTCTTGAATTTCTCAGTAACTATTCATTTCAAGTAAGAGGAGATGTAACCATGATATGAATAGAAGGGAGGGGATTGCAGAATCTTTAGTATTTATTTCAGTTGCTTTGATATCAAGGAATTGCAATTTTAATTGCTAGTGTTGTTAGCCATGTATGGAAGAACAATTGCAAATCTGCACTTTTTACTGAGATATTTTCTTCTTTTTTGGGGACTATACATGCATAAAATTTTTGAGATACCACTTCCCCTTTTTTCCCCTGCTTTGTCTTACCAGTCATGAAGAAGCTGTACCCAAAAAGCCAAAGGCAGTCTGCAGAGACAGATGGCATCACGATTGTACTTGGAACTTCTATACATCATGCAGTGAATGGCATCCCTTTTTGTCAATTCACATGGATAGAGTTCATAATATTGTCATCTTTTCTAATAATTCACTGATAATAAAGGCAATATTTTGTAATCCTGAGAAATAACATACTGTGTAGGATGGTTATACCAAGTACACATTTAATAACCTGGAACGTAGCTTTAGGTAGAGAACATGACAAGTGTCGTAATAGAGATTGATTGCTCCTTCTGATCTTAGCTAATCTCCTCTTTATTTGTGTTTGGAGCTGTTAAATGAAGAAAACAATACATCATTTCAAGATCTTGAGGCTATTTCTTTTCCAATGCAGTGAGAAGAAGATAAAATATGACCATTATCTAATTCCAAATGCCTTGCTGGAGCTGGCGATACTGTATCTAGACCAGGATAGAAGACAAGAAGCAATAAAACTACTGGAAAGAGCAAAGTAAGCAAGTGAAAAGCCTGTGCTGATGTCTGATGGGTCAATATGGTGTTTTACTGGTTAGCCAGAAGCAGAAACATTTCATTAATACTATGGAAACTCATTGTTACATTTATTCAATGGAAGCACGCATGCACTAGTTTTGGTTTGGACCTTTCTAATGGTAGACATCTGATCGTTCAGTCTGTGACTTTCCCATCCATTCTGATAAGATGTTAATATGAATGCCAAAGGCTTCCATAAGAAATAATCCATGTGTAACAAAATGTAATAATCTGTGTAGTCTATCTACTTATTCATAAAAGATGTATTAAATTAAATCAAACTCTACGTTATGGCTAAAATAGCATCACTCAAACTGATGGGTAGCAGTGCTGTTTTCTTTCCTTGATGAAATACATTTAAGGTAACGCTTCAGGTTGCATGTAGTATCTTTGTATTGTTTCATAAGCATCTGAAAGGCAACTGAAACACCTGCTTTTACTATTTTGTGCGATTGATTTTTCTAGCAAAGTAGATTTATCAGGAATAGTCGGACTTGATCATCTATGTTGTTTATTATAAAATTAACAAAATACGGGTTTTGCCTCTGTCCGAGCCTTTACTTCTCTGCAGAGCCAAAATTTCTTGGGGGGGGAGTGAGGGTGAGGGATGGAGAGGGAATCCAAACCAAACAACCCTCGCCCTCTTGAAGCATCCTGCAGCAGGGTAGTTCACCTCTCTGCCTGGATCCTGAATGAGTCCAGATGTCTGCATCTTTCCAAGTGCAGAGTCACGCCAGTCACTGCCGCAGGTGTTAGCAGCTACAAAGCTGATGTCTGGCCCCAAGTTTCAAAGAGGTCAGATAGAGGTTTTGTGTTGAGCTTTTGTCCAAGTCAGTCTACTATGCAAGACAGAGTGGTGAATCAGCCTACCGAAGAGTATGCCAAAAGCCTGTCAACACAAAAATTAAAATATTGCAATTCTTAATCTCCTACGCTCGTGAGCCTGTAATGGTTCTCTGTAGACTCTTGGAAGATATTAAGAAGAGCAAAAATTGCATTAGCAAAACGCAATGGACAGTTTCAGTTGGTTTCACATTCCTTAAAGCTCGACTCTCCTGTCCTCATTTCCTTTGCTCAAATCTCTCTTAAGAAGAGATCTAAAAACTAATGATGCAGAGCTGCTCGTTCCATCTGGTACTTCTGTTGCTTGCTGCTCAGCCATTGCGCCTTTCCCCTGATGGCTCTGTGTGGCTCAGGTCGCAGGCCCCCTCGAGGGAAGGTGTTTGGCTTAAAGAGCACCAGCAGACAGCAGCTTTTAAAAATTTGTTGTTAGCCATTGTATGGAAAACTAATACTCAGACTTGCTATGCTCAAAGAACTCATGGAAACTGTAACGCAAAAAAACCCACCCACCACAAACCCCCTCCTTGTTTCAGTCAGTCATTAAAAAAAGTGCAGTCCTTACATTTCCACCTGTAGCTGTTACACTGCATTAAAATGCACCGGTTTTATAAGCTTTCAGCTACAAGTGCTGAATGTCTTTGCAGCCACTAGAGGGAGAACGCGTTGTCCCTGGTGGGGTCCAGGGCTGCAGAATTATATTTACAACTGGCCGGAGTGCAGACGAGCACTCGGCTTGTGCATGACGTTTGATTTGCTTGACCTAAATCCACATACTGCTGCTGGCTTGAATGTTTCGACTCTGGGAGAAAGAGTGGAATGAGATGATAAACAGTTTTGGCTTGGTCATGCATGGAAATATTTCTATTTGTATTACCGAAAGCTACAAGCAAGAATATCAACCTACTGATGAGAAATACAGTATCTGCATGACAAAATCTACTTAATTTAAAGAAAAAACTCCAAAGAGTTTCAGATCAGCATACAGCACAACCCAGGCACCTCCTTTTCTCATTCAGCCTCTTGGGTGTTGCATACATAAAATTATAAGCTGGTGTAGGATGGGTGTGGAATTCCTTGTTTCCACAAGAGACTGCCACTGCCATAGTGACAGATACCATGCTTCCATGCTTGATTTGAATTATGAATTTTGAACTGAAATGCTTTTAAGGTATACAGACTGTTTAATATTTAATGTTATGTTTCTGTAAAGATGACAAATATCTTCTAAAAGAAAATTAGCATGGTCTAATCCTCTTTGGTATCTGGATTCTGTATCCATCCTGCAAGAGCTGACATGTTAATTCCTGTTAAGTAGGATCTGCACTTTCTGTGTGGTCCTAGGAGCAAAATTTCTTTTTTTATATAAGCTTTTCCATGAAAATACAGATTCTTTTAATGTTTCTGTATCTCTTTAGAGCATGGCATAGCTACTGGAGCCTATAGGCAGATGACACTGCTGAGTCAGCCACTAGATATTTGGGGGGGAAGTCCTGCCAGCCTTTCCCTGGGCTGGGGAATTGCTCCTCAAAAGCTGATACGGAGTCTCGTGTGTGCCCACTTTCTCTTTCCAAGGTTCTAGGGCAGCAAATTGTCTGGCCTTATTTCCTACACACAGTACGCATCGTTGACAACCACAGGGTGCAGATGGGGTGTTTCCCTCTTCTGGTTCAGGACAGCTTCTCTCTCTTCCTTTTTCTTTCCTTTTCCTTTTTTCCTTTTCCTTTTTTCCTTTTCCTTTTTTCCTTTTTTTTCCTTTTTTTCCTTTTTTTCCTTTTTTTCCTTTTTTTCCTTTTTTTCCTTTTTTTCCTTTTTTTCCTTTTTTTCCTTTTTTTCCTTTTTTCCTTTTCCTTTTTTCCTTTTCCTTTTTTCCTTTTCCTTTTTTCCTTTTCCTTTTTTCCTTTTCCTTTTTTCCTTTTCCTTTTTTCCTTTTCCTTTTTTCCTTTTCCTTTTTTCCTTTTCCTTTTTTCCTTTTCCTTTTTTCCTTTTCCTTTTTTCCTTTTCCTTTTTTCCTTTTCCTTTTTTCCTTTTCCTTTTTTCCTTTTCCTTTTTTCCTTTTCCTTTTTTCCTTTTCCTTTTTTCCTTTTCCTTTTTTCCTTTTCCTTTTTTCCTTTTCCTTTTTTCCTTTTCCTTTTTTCCTTTTCCTTTTTTCCTTTTCCTTTTTTCCTTTTCCTTTTTTCCTTTTCCTTTTTTCCTTTTCCTTTTTTCCTTTTCCTTTTTTCCTTTTCCTTTTTTCCTTTTCCTTTTTTCCTTTTCCTTTTTTCCTTTTCCTTTTTTCCTTTTCCTTTTCCTTTCCTTTCCTTTTTTGTCTTTTCTCTACTTCCTTGAAATGTGTTTGCTGAATTAAGATGAGGCCATCTTATTAAAATGAGAACAAAAATCATGACAATGTTTGTATTCAAATTTGTCAGTTATACTTTGAGGGGGGGGGGAAGAATCTAATTTCTGAATGTAAACTAAGTAGCTGTTACAGATATTTAATGTGAACTCAATATTTTGATTGAGTGGAACAGATTCAATTACTTATTAAGCTATATTTTTCTGGTAATTGCCAGACAGTGGAACTACAAATAAAGAACAAAGAGCTGCATTGTTTGGCTAAGAGCACATGCCTTGTATTTTAGAGTAGGCAACAAAGGAGCTTGTGAAGAAAGGCTTTTTTGCTGTCTACAGTTGTTTTGCTTAGAATGATGATATAAAGACAAGTTGAAAATGTTTAAAATATATATATTCATCAGACTGGATCTGCTTTTGTTTCAGACAAAACTACAAGAATTACTCCATGGAAACAAGAACACATTTCAGAATTCAAGCTGCCCTGCACCAGGCCAAATCCGCCCCAGAAAATGGAATGCACTCTGGAGCCTCGGCAGTGTCGTAACTTTTTCTTCTTTGATGTCCTGTTTGTTGCAAACTTTGGTGCAGAAAATTACTGACACTTCAGAATTATTTTTCCTTCTCTTTCAAGTCAGTGAGAAACCAAATCATTTACAATTTTAAAGGTGATGCATAAGACATTAATCTAGTGTAATAACATGGCAAAATACCTCTCAAACCAACCATAACCCTGAAAAATATTGGTTTTCCAACAGTGGCTTTCTGAATACTTACATCTGTGTAGTTCATTTTTCAATCATGTGTGCCTTTTTTCTTGCACTGGCAACATTTACTAAGCAAGCTACAACATAAAGGGGAACAATTGAAAAAACGAAACATCAAAACTTTAAAGATTCACGGATTTAATCTCAGCTATAAATGTTTGTTTGAATTCATACTGCTAGAAGTTGAGAAGGAAGCGTCATTTTTTCCAAGTACCTACTTAGCTGAAATGGTGTTGAGAAAATCTCAGTGCACAAGAAACACAGCAGGGAGGAGCTCTGAATTCTGGGCATTTCCAATTGTGCATAAAAAGCTTCTCTTTTCCAGCTTTTACTTGTCATATTTTTGCTTCTATAAGAAACTCGATGGGGAAAGAAATGGTCTCCCTTATGCAAGTATCTTGACTTTTTCTTTGATCAGGTTTTCATGTCAAGTCTGCAGCTCATAGCAGCTGAATGATTTACCAAGGATTTGGTGGGGTCAGGCTGATGACAGTATAAAACTGCATCACTTCTTCTTTGACAAGTTTAAAAATGGGAGGTCCTTAGGAAACAGTTTTTTTCATCAGAACAAACATAATTGGAAGTTTATGTCATATTTAAAGCACAAATCCTTGAAGGTCACTTAAGAAACAGCAATATTGCTCTGGCTGCACAGCAATACAAAGTTACTGTGACAGTCAATTCCTTCTTAAAACAGTTGTTCTTAGGTTTGCCTAACTTGAGATGTCCGTGTTTAAAGAGATCGTATGGCCATGTTTCCTGTATGAAGAAGCTGGGGTTGGAGCAGGCTGTCTTGGCACAGTGCTCTGCTTTTCACAAAGGAGAGCCCTTTATCTTTTTGCTCTTTATTGATCTTTTGGGGGAATTTCTGTGTAAGGGGCTTTGAGAATCGAGCAAAGAGCTAGCTCTGCTTTCCAATGCTGTCTGCCATAGAATTGCTGCTTTTCTCCAAAACTGGTGAAGTCAGATATAACACGTATTTGACTCGTATTTACCGTTCTCCAGGCTAGCTCCATGTTGTATGCCTGTGGTTTTTTGGGGCACACTTCTACCTCCCTTTTGAAAGAGCTTCTTCCCCGTGACCCATTCTGATATGTGGAGATGGGATGTCTTCGGACAGCCCTTTTTCTCCAATGGAGATGTTTGTCAGGAAGATTCATATCTATGTACCTCACAGTGAATATTCTTTCTAAAGTGATTGCTCCCAGCAGAAGAGAAAATTGACAGTTTATAGCTCTGCTTTTACCTCCTCTAAGGAAATGACATTGTTTTATAATTGCAAATTAATATGCAAGGAGACAGAACCACCTGTTCCTCAACATGGAGAACTTGCATTGTCTTAAAAATAGACACCCTTTATAAAAGTCTTCCCAAGTTAAAATCATAGGTGAAGAATGCATTTTTTTAAAGTGACTTTCTCAGATAAATTCAGTTCAGATAAATTTCTCAATTCAGATAAAATTCAGTATAAACAGTTACGCTATTTACGTATTGCACATCAAAACTTAAGTGTAAAAATTCAGTCATTCTTTGTATAGAATAAAAAAGATTCTTGTTCTATTTCATGCATATAACGCCTCTTCTTCCAGTTGTGTCCTTTTCAAATATTTTGGCAGTCTTAGCATCTTTTAAGAAAGCAATGCCATGAAAATCAGCATAAATTGTACTTTGCAGAAAGTGAACAATCCTTCTGCCTGTAGATTCATCTCTAAGGCCACTGAAACACTCTGAAATTTCACCCACAACCAAGTTTCGCCTGATCTTAGATACATTGCACAGAGGACATATTGTGCAATATGCAGTCAACTTCCCTGATTCTTCGCAGTGATGAAAAACCTGAGATTTTCATAGTCCTCTTTCGTTGAGCACAAACAGCAGTCATATCATGGACCTGATCTCCAGCTTCAGCTGAGGACTTTGTAGTTAGCCGCGATCAAGTCATCTGTGCTTTCACTCTGACTTTTTAGCTCCCAAACAACAGGAAATATTCACCTTCCTGATGCTACAACAAAGATTTATGGACTGTAATATTCTGAACTCACTAAAGAAGGGTAACACCTTGCTCGCTAAAGGATGAATGGAAGGTCTGGTACGTTGTCGCTGCATACGTTTTTCGATGTGTCACATTTTGAATTGCCCACCGTTACTCGTCGTTCATCAATGTACTTCATTTTGATTCTCTTCTGTGGCTAGAGATCAAAACCTCAGTGGTGTCATTCTGGGCTTGGAAGGTCTGTGCTGGGATTGTTTTTCCATTGCTTCTCCTGAAGCTGCTGCATTCTGCCTGAAGCAGCTCTCCAGAATGGTAAATTGCTTCATCAGTCTGGAGTCCCAAGTACAATGAATTAGGGAAAGCACCACTGGTGTAAGTTCACAAACAGCTTCAGCGTTCAGTATATTCACCTACCAGAAAATAGCAGATACTCTAATGGAATCACAAATCAAGGATTTTCAGCATGGCCTAAGATTCAGGAAACGTAAGTACTGCTTCACATGGATATAGTCAACCCCTCATTTGCAGCAGCAGCACTGCCTTCTGCTTTCAAACATTGCATTGTCTGACCAGTGCTGCAGAAACCCACTCTGCATACTGGGCTTCAGCCAAACAGTGCTGGTATCAACTCTTCTCAGTCCTCAGCAAAGGCAAAGAAGTTAACCAAAGGCAAACTACTAACTCGTATAGCAGAAAATAGCTTTCTGCACTTGGTAGGACCTTTATCAGAAAACTTAGAAACAGTGTTTCTTTTTTAATGTATTTTTTTTTAGTAGCATTGATAAGTCGTTTCCTGCCGATAGCTGAGGAGGGGTAGAAGTTCAGTTTCCCGCATGTCTGCAGCAATTGCCATGGTACCCCACGTGATATCGCTGTGCCATCTGAAAGTGGTAGTGGTCAGGAAGGGCAAAGCAGTTAAAATGAGCCTCGCTTTTATCATTAGATCTGATATGTGGAATCCAGGTATGTATGGTCTCCCATTAAACTGAAGGGAGGATATGGGCTGAAGAGCCAGCTGCTTATACTGAGGTCTGACGAGGTGTAACTACATCAACACCTAGCTCCTATAAATAACGCTAGATGAGGTAACCTGTTGGATGAAGAAGAGTGGACTGAAGCTGAACCTGGTCACAGGTTTTCTTCATGATCAGAAGAGATTTTGATGAAGTCACAAACATGATACAACTACTATTATTTGCAAACACGCACTTATGATTGCTCAACTAAACCAGTAGCATAGAAATATGCTTTGATTTATTACTGATACACAGTTCTATTATGACCTACAATTAACGTATTTTGTCATGGATGGTTAGTTTAAAGACTGTCGCATTCTGACAGTGCCTAGCCTCAGGTTGTTCACACTGCAGTGATACAGCATTCAAAACTTTCTGTAGGAAACTTTGCCTTTTATAAAATATAGCAGCATAGAACAGGATCGTATCAAATATTTCCTCCCATTTCACACAGTTTTCGGCATTAAATTCTATATTGAGTGCCTTACTATTTTTAGTTCGCCTGGGTCCAAGACTCCTACAAGATCATGGGATGATGGCTTTGACAGCTTGCATGCCTCTGGCCCAACAGACGCATCAAGTAATGCTCCTCTGTGTGAAACAAGGCTTTCCTAGAGGTCAGTCCCAGAATGCGAAAGGCACTCCCAAGGGTTTAAATACAACACTCTCAGCGTCCAGTTCCACCTGCGGGGTGCATTTCTTTGCCTTCTAAAGCATAAAAACATAGCAGCAAAGCCAATGTATATGAAATGACCAAAACAATGCGTTCCACACAGTTCCGCCTCTGGGAGGAAGAGGAGAAGATAAAGAGGTGAGTCATGTTGTTTACTGCTGTACAGGAAAATGGTTAATGGTTGGAAACGTCACTGATGAGCAAGATTGGAAAGCCTGAACAGACTAGAAATGAACTTGCTTCTTTTCTCATTATGTTCTGCAAACAGCTTTTTGTGATAGATCATAAGTAAAGCGTGTATTGGCAAGTATTTTAATTGAACGATTTGTCATCATAAAATATTTTTAAAGATGCTATCTAGGTTTGCTTCAGGTGTTTAAAAAAAAAAAATAAATACAAATACTTTCTTTTGAAAACATGCCCAGTCAATGCCTGTCTCCAAGATTTATGAGCAGCGACAGAGCTAATAAATATCTGCATTGCACTGTAGTAAAATTCTGCATTGTGTTTGCTCTAAATTCAACAATGTTTTGGTAGGAGCTTTTTGTGATAGATCATAAGTAAAGCGTGTATTGGCAAGTATTTTAATTGAACGATTTGTCATCATAAAATATTTTTAAAAATGCTATCTAGGTTTGCTTCAGGTGTTTAAAAAAAAAAAAATAAATACAAATACTTTCTTTTGAAAACATGCCCAGTCAATGCCTGTCTCCAAGATTTATGAGCAGCGACAGAGCTAATAAATATCTGCATTGCACTGTAGTAAAATTCTGCATTGTGTTTGCTCTAAATTCAACAATGTTTTGGTAGGACTAGGCTGTGTACCAGTATTTTCTGGGTATTTTAAATCTCTGGACCTACTTACTTTTATTTCTGGCTAAACATAGGCAAAATGGCAATCTGGCTAAACATAGGCAAAATTATTTAGAATTATGTATTGTGTTCAATTCTACTTGCTTTGTATCTCCTTGACTATTTTACAGAAAGAATACAAACCAGAGCAGTCACACACAGCCCTGCATGCTCTCTTTATGGTCTGCTTCAATTCAAAAAAGAAAAAGAAAATGAGAAAAAAAAAAGTGTTTATCTCGTGTTAGTCGAGTACTGTCACAACAGCTTTAGGTCTGTGGCTGAAAAGCAAGGTAGCAACGTGGTGAGAAAGAGCAGATAAGTAGAAGCTGCAATATTCTGGACACTTTTCATCTCTCACTGTTCCTTTTATCCTGCAGCACGCAAGGTGTGGAGGTAAGGAGCTACTTCCTTAGCACTGGAGCCATACAGGCTGTTTGGCTGCAGTGCTGGAGCCACAGGGGCCATGCTTGGTGTTAGTAGTGCCATAGGTTCAGTTCTAGGGTGGGCTGGTGTTTCATTTGTTAAAGTGGTGCTTTTCCTGATGTTTTGGTAAAGATGTCTGCAGATTGCCTGTGTTGACTCTATCTGAAGATGCAAAATAGGAACTTTATCTCCAATGGTCAGCAGAGTTCAGTAAATCATTCTAGAGAGGAGAAGCAATGTTGTTTAACTCAAGAAGACAGAATATATGGATCGTATTCAATGTCATCCTGATCTGGGTACAGTACCCAGTACTGCTGTCATCACTACCAAGGTTACACAGCCTCTGTTGGGCAGCTGCAAAGTTTTTTTAGAAGCAACCAGTTGGGCCAGTTACCGTTTTGGTATTTGCTTTGGCCTTCATTCTTCCAGCTCGTGGATACCTGGGTCTTGGGTCAGGTTTCCGTTCCATGATGCTGGGCTCATCGCTGATGCGAATAATTCTTGGTATTCATAAGGAACAGCAGGAAGCTCATGGGTGCTGCCTTTGCTACTCCCTATTGAAGTGCAGGATCTGTGACACACACACACACATACATATATCAAAAAGTATTTGTAGATAGACACAAAAAGTATATGTATGTATATTCACACGCACCAGCAGCAGGCTCTGTAGCCAAAGCTTTTTGAAAAGTTGTCAGAACTGTTTGAACTATTGAATTCAGCACTTAAAAAAAAAAAAAAAAAGCTAAAGATATGAAGCAAAATCTTTGACGCCTTTTCAGATGATGGCTGAGGAAAACGCGCAGAGGTTAAGGGCCTTTACTAACGGTTTGCTGTGGGATCATGTAGGAAGCCAAGTGCGCAGTATACAGCCGCCTACAAGGAGAAATCCCAAAACAAATGGGCAACCTAGCAAGATTAATCTTTTTCCCCTTGAATTTCTGCCTTGTCTGTCTCCCTCAATCTGCTTACCCAGTGTGCACTCTTGATTAGACAGGCAGCTACCACTAATGTGGCAGAAGGGTAGGAAAAAAAAGATGCTAAAAAGGTGGAAGCGTGTCTGTCTGTCTGCAGCGAGAACGCTGGCAAAAGTGCCTCCAGTGAGCCAGAGCAGGGCCTGTCGTGTCCAGGAAAACCCTTGGTGCAGAGAGCCACGGTGCACGTAATATGTGCAGTGAACTGAACGTTTACTGTTGTGTGCAGAGTTGTTGAAATGCCTTATTTAAACTAAAGGCAGATATTTTCTAGGGGTTGGTGCTGCAAAGAATAGGCTTATGAGTTTATTTGTACTTGTTTTCCAACTGAGAGGATACAGAAGGTTTGGGGGCTTTTTTGTTTGCAGTACGGCTCGCCCCCTCTTGCTGAGTAAGTACATACCTTTGTGCTGCTAGAAACACGTACAGGCATTGCACAATTTTTTTTTTTTCATTGTATAGATTCCTCTCTGCAGCTTTTGCTTAGCTAAGTGTCTGTGCAGAGTGGATATTGTAATAAATCAGTTGCTAGCATGCAAATACAGTTACTTCTTCTGCTTAAATCAAAAAGATGCTTTTGCAGAGTGTTTGGACTGTTCTTTTTATCAAAAGGCATTAACTTTGCATTTCAAACCAAGAATTCCAAAGCCCGTAACTCTTATCCCAGAACAGGTTTAAATGCAAGATAATCTACAAAGGATGGTTAGCATAAATTATATTCTTCAAAGTTCAATGCTATCTAAAAGGAAAAGTTAATCCTTGAAGCTAATTTTTATTCTGGGTATTAAATCAAGAAGTGTTCTTCTGAACAGATTTTATTCATGTTTTTTATAGGTTATCAACTAGTATGTATTTTTTTAATAAAAATGTGATGTCTGTAATAAACTGTATTTGTGATCAGCTAGCATCCACTTCGTTTCTAAATCCATTTTAATCCAGAATTTAACTGATGAGAGGCCTTGTATGTTTGGTTTCAGCCATCTTGTTATTTATTTAACTGACAGTCTGACTCAGAAGGATTTTCATCTTTACGACGATTGCCCAAGGACAGGAAATGTCGAAGTCTTGAAACTGTGGCAACTGAAGTAAGTTCAGGTAATCCCTCAGCCTAGAAACGTACGCTTCTACCACTGCGAGGAGAGGACCGTCAGCCTTCCAACCACCCGACTGCTTTCAGCCCTGGGAAGCTGCAAGACAGTAGGAACCTTTAAAATCTTATGTGGTTAAAGCTCTTCTACACCACTAGCTCCTCACAAAGAAATTCTGTGGGCTTTTTGTTTGTTTGTTTGTGTACAAATTTTATGATTCTCTCCCAGATTTACATAATGAACTGGCAACAAGTAACAAGGATTATCATCTTTAAACGTAAAATGATTAAAGTGGTAATTCCAGTAGCATGGAAGAATTTTTAAGCATGAAGGTCTTTCTTTATAAAATTGAGTATTCATGACTTGCCCTTGCATCTCTTTTTCCTCAGACTTGTGGGAATTTTGTTTTCTTGTGCTGTATGAGAAAATCCTACTACAATCTGCAAATGTAACCTAACGCTTTCCTTGCTGGGCAAGCATCGGTGGATGTTGGCGATGCCCTTGGTTCCTACCTGCTCTGTTTCTGTGGCACTTCCGTGGCAGCTCTTAGTCTCTAAACGGGACAGCAGGTTGCTGTGAGAGGCTGTGGTGTCCGGCAGTGACTGGGGGTGTGTGGACTTTCGAAGTCGGTGTCTCTGGCGTTGTTGCCTGGAATTGCAGAGGCTTGAGCCTGATGATCCACTCAGCTATTTCTGGGTCTGTGCCAGGCTCGTTTTGCAGTTACGGTTCTGAAGTACAGACAGCGTTGTTGCACTGAACCTTTTCATCATACCGCAGAGTCCCTACAAAATGCTTTAAAGCAACATTTTTTCATGACTTTTGATGCACCTACAAACTTCCTTACTTACACACAGTAGCTGTAAGAGTATTTTTTTTCTTCCAATTGCTTTGCAGACATTTTACCATGGGCCTGTCCACCTGGAAACATACAGCCCTGGCATAAGAAGGGCTATGGCTGAACAGGTCCAGATGAACAAGAGCCAACCCTTTCCACTCACTGAGCTGCAGTGGACTCTGGTTAGGAAACAGCTGTGCTGTAAATGGACTGTCTAATATGTTTGAAGTGTAAGTAATTTATTAGACACCCCTGAGACAGGAGGCAAATATTATCTTCACCTTACAGATGGTGGAATTAAGACACAGATCTGTTTTCACAACGGTAGCTAAAATTCAGGTTACATATTATTTTGTGTTAAATCCGGATCAATTACTTTTTTTGAATTAAAAATCATCCAGAACAGCATTGCACCTAGAAACTTGAAAAATCATTTGATTTATTTGTTATATTTACACATTTGTCTTTAAGCTAAAATTTGAACTTTTTGGAATGTCTCTGTGTAATCAACTCTAGTTTTAGCCCTTCACACCTTTTTGCTATTTAACAAGTATTTTAATAAAAGTAATTTTTTCCCTTAGCCCGGTAAGTATGTATATCAGTGTTAAAAGTTCAACTATACAAAGTGCCTAGAAAAGCATTCAGCTCAGTAACTGGTCACTTCATATTTCTTTTAAATCTTTCTTAATCAAGTCTTGTAATAAATAAAGACTAATACCAACATGACAATGCTGTTTTTTCAAATTGTTCATTTGCCAGTTTTTACAAGATAAAGAAATGAATACTTTATGTGGACACTGTTTTACCAAAAAAAAAAAAAAAAAAAAGGAGAAACCAAACCCCCAAAACAAAAACCAACACCCCAAAAGAAGCAGACAAAAAGGAGGACACAAAGGAACACACATGGAATGATGAAAAGGAACAATGATATTGCACAACTTCAGGTCTCTCTTCCCAGATTTTGATCCGTGTAATTAGGTATGTATGAATTCAGCAAAAAAATTGCGTCCAGATAAACGTGTAGCAATTTGAGTGACTCTAGCACTGTAGACTGCTTTCAGTCTGTAGACTACTTGGAGTTCTTCTCCAAGAAAGGAGGTTGCTGTCAGCTGCAGGAATAATAAATAAATCAACACGTTGATTCTACACTTTGCTGACCAACCCTTCAAAAAGTTATCCGTAACATGCACAATTCTTTTATATTGTAAATACACTAAGTCTTCAAAGTACTTGAGTCTTTAAACACAACTTGTTGTATCAAGTACTGAAACTATAGATGAAAAACAATCAAGAACGTTCCCTGATTTGTTGTGGTTAACTTGAGATTGCATCTCATTTTCCAAGACCAGGACTTGCCAATGTATCAGCATTGCGCTGAATGTATACAAGTCACAGTAGGGTACATTAAGGAAGGGGGGGAGGAAGGAAGAAAAAGAAAAAAAAAACATGCTAAGTGGAGAAAAGGTCTTTACAGCTACAATCTTTGCTAGATCATCTCTTAACAAGCACATACCGTTCGCTACAGAAATGAGCTAATTGTGTCATTCTGGCTATAGCAGTACTTCCCCCCCCCCCCACCTTCTCGTATGACAGTCTGTGTTTATATAAACTTTGCATTTAGGTGCAGAACAAAATATATTTTTCTCATATCTGATTTCATACCTGTTTGGTGGACTGATGTGTCAGCCAGCAGGGCTTAACAGATACATTTAATACAGGAGACTGAGATACAGTATGTTTATTCTTAACTTCTGATAACCTAAGAACTACAAGAACAAGAGATGCAGTATCCATTTGCTATGATCCAAGACAACCATTTTTAGGGAGAAAAAAAAGTAGAATAAGTGATCAACGCTAACACTACATTAGTTCCAAATTTTTTTTTCCCCGTCATGGTAGCTTAACTTTATTGTCCATCTGGCCCGCTTTTAACCTGATCAAGTTAAAGGCGGCGTATTGAAGTTTAAGGACTCTTGTTTCATCAAAACCAAAGCAAGCTATAAAACATGAAACCATAATTTCACTGTAGGACTTGTTTCACATCTTCATATTCCGCATCACTTGTAGAAAAGGGATAATGCATCTCGGTTTGCTTACAAGCTAGGAGATCACTTTGAAGTCTGCATATTCCTAACTGCAAACAAAATATAGCACTTTTAACAGGTTATAAATAAACTGGTTTTCAAGCATAGAGCCAGCCCAACAATAACAATACACTATTAAAAAGACCTAAGGCAATGAATTCCGTCTCCAATGGAGAGAAGAGAAAAAAAAAAAAAAAAAGAAAAAGAGAACTGTGCAAACAAGCTTAAAACTATTTCTTTGTGCCAGTGTTATAAAATGTAGATTTCAATAAAGCCTTGACCCAAATGCCAGGACTTGTGAAAAGAATCGGAACAAAACTGGTTACTTTATTTAGGAAAAAAATACTCTTATCTTGCTGCTAATAAAATTGGATACACGCAGTTTAAACATTTACAGTTGCTGTAACACTTTACACAATTCCTATATATGGGTGTAAGAACAAACATTAAAAGACAATGGTGGGTCAAGGCTTTACATTAAAAATAACAACCTACTTTTCTATAGTCTCTAAAATACTATGTTTTTCCCATTATTTGCAGCCATTCAGGAATATTTTTATTTATTTATTTATTAGGAAATGTATACTTTGTGCATGATCTTAATTCCTAATTCCTGGCTCTTTGGGCTGAATGACAAAAGGATCAAACCCATTAAAGTGGATGGTCTCCTTGAAGGTTCAGTGGAGAAACCCTGGCTCAGTTAGTCTCATACGATGAAAGCAGTGCTGCATCCACTGGCTCCATGCAGGATGGACAGGTAAAGGATCTCATCAACCAGTCATCTATACAGTCCAGGTGGTAAATGTGCATGCACGGCAGAAATCGGATAGGGTCCCCGTAAACAAAGTCCATCATACAAATGACGCATCTGGGGGGGGGAAAAATCATAAAAATATTTAGGCTCCTGTTACGACACTGGAAATGAAAAGTAGTGTAATATCTGCTCCTGGGTATGTTTGAGTCAAACAAACTTTGGCACTTGCAGATACTGTGAGGAGTTCTTGGCTCTGTCAGTGCTGGCTCCACCAAGCACTAGATATTTTTGGTGTTTCTTTTGTAGTATGTGCCCACGGTTACAACGCTAGTGAGGGCAGGAAGCCTTCTGTAGGCATGGCAGGGGCCGCTCAGCAGAGTGCGTAAAATTAGAAATGGTGAAAGGGAGCCATAAAAGTGAAGAACTAACGTGAAATTATTCCCCCGTGAAGAGAGGATAAAGAGGAAAAAACCTATAAGAGCATGAATTACACAGGTCGGGAAAGCAAGTTTCACCTGTAACAGGAAAACAAGCGAGGATAAAGGAAAGAGCCTTCTGCATGGTCATTTCTGTCAGAAAGCTACATTACATTACAGTCCCTGAAAATAAGGCAAAATCAGGAGGACAAGATCACGTTTCCCAGGGCAATATCATAAACCAATGCAACAGCCACATTAGTTCAGTTAGGTTTCCATAACTTACTCTCTGATCTTCTTCTCGGAGCCGTCTCTTCCAGGATCATAGACTCCTTTAGGTAGATGCTGAATAAGGCCTATCCTCTGCGCTATTCTGATTTGTTCCTCTTCTGTCAGCTGTGTTGCTAGCCGAGTCTGGCTAGGAGTCGGGTGATAAACAGGAACAGGGACCTGCTCCTAAAATGAAAATATTTCAGTTAAAAAAACCACAGAGGCTTTCCTAGCATTTCATAGCACAGTACGGGCAACGTACGTAACTTTCAGTCCTACAAATGTCTGTAGGATCTCCCACTCCTACTTTGCCATTTTGGGGCTATAATTATATTGACAATGGGATAAAGAATCGAGGCCAGTATCTTGAGCAAGGAGCTGCTCCTGGTTGTTCTCTGCAAAAGCTTTTTATCTCCAGGAACTGTTCACCCATGAAATACAGGTCCAACAAACTCCACGTGACAGCAGGCAAATAAACCTTACAGGCACCTGGTGAACCGCTAAGATATGAACTGGACAACATAATGGCCGAGGAAGCTCCCCCAGTATTTGCAACAAAAAGTAGGTTTTTGTACATTTAGGAAGACTTATTTGCAAAGATGAGGACAGTGCCTACTCTTAAGGGTTTTAGAGAGGAAGGTTTTATTGGTTCTGTAATAACTAAAATTTAGGCAAACTGTTCTGGGCCACACAAGTGCCAATCCAGAATTGCAGATTTAATTCTTGTGTGTTTAAAAAAATGTCACCTGGACAATAAAAAGAATAGCTTAAGTAAGTAATCCAAGTTTTACATTTGTTCTCATACATTAATACGATTTTTACAAGTTCTCCCAAGCTGGACTTCAACTGCTGTATGTTTAAAGTACGTATTTCCCAAACAAAAAATAAAGCATAATAGCAGTCCGTCCTCTACCGCATTTCTCAGAAGCTTCTTTTGAATATTAATGAACTTTAGATCAGATATTTTTACTAACATTTATATTAACATGGTACTTATTTTACTTGCTTTTAAAGCACTTTTTTGGACATAAATACCAATTTTGAACAGGAGATACTATTAGGACAGTATGGGCCAGTAGCCATAAAGCTACTGTTAATAGGGAGACTATTTCTTGCAATAGGCCTATTTTAATGGTACTTCTTAAACAGCAGAAAAAAAATCAACTTATAGATGTGTTCTGAAAATAAACCTGGTGCATCAGAGAGACAATAGCATCAATTCATCTTCTTGAAAAAAAGCAAAAGTTGACGTTTCAGAGGACATCATTGCTGCAAAACAAGCAGAGTGCAGGAGTGTGTGCAGCTGCACCGCAGGAAGCGCTGATGCAGCACACATCACCTCCGACGAAGTCCCCATTGCCAAACTCCCCCTCTCATCACCGATACGGGGAAGATGTGGGCCTTCACCGTCTGTGACGGGGCAACCACCTTCTGAATGCGCGCGTCCTTACGGAGTACAGACCACTGTGGGCATCGCCAGATATGTGAGCAGCAGGAACACAGCTGCGCTCCCCTCTCCTGTTCCCTCTTTGCCTTTTGGCCTGCTCCGGCAATGGTCTAGTGCAGTGTTCAGTGTTCAGCTGACACCAGCACCTGGCAAAGTCCAGATATGGGGTTTAACGCATATAATACTGCGCTTGTAAAACCTGGTAAAGTGATTCTTTCACTGCTAGGAAGCATGGCAAGCAGACAGACAGGACTCCTGGAAGGCCCACGGGGCGCACAGCCTCTCGCCAGCCGATGCTGGGGGTGCCCGACAGCAGAAGTCCTTGCTCATCAAAAATACAAGTCTGCCTGGCAATTCTTCTTTTCTTTTAACACAGTGCCTACCACTTGCAATTCAGCTGTGGGGTAAAATTCAGAGTCTTCTCTTAATTTAGCTACACTAGGATTCCCCCCCTCCGATTCCCTAGCAGAACTCGGAGGAATTATGAGAAGGTTCAAAAGACGAAATGCCAGTGGTTCTCTAAGCTTGATTAATTTCCTTACTCCTCTAATTTCACAGAATCACAGATTTCTTCTAGATCAGCTGCCTTTTAATGGATTAAATTATCTAAAGTATTCTCTAATCGTAGTTTGGATAGGGAAAAGCACCAGCTGAAGCTAGGGATGGCCTATCAGATATAACTATTCATGAAGTGGCTCTGCAACCTTTGGTGCCAGCAAAATAAAACATTTTTTCCCCTCCCAAATGCTGCAGACCCTCTGCACTGAACACATCAGCTCGAGGCAGAGCCCAGTCCTGGTTTTATGTTTCAAGAACCTAACACCACAAACTGTCAGTAACCCTTTTTTTCCCAAGGCTTTGCTATACTTCTTTGGACAGATTATTAAATCAATAGCAGAAGGCATTACTGCCAGCTCCTTTAGTTGTTGCAAAGGTGTACAGAACACTTAGCAGTTGGAGAGAGATGCACCCTCCCTCCCATCTTAGAAAAAAGGAGGAGCAGTATAACTCCCCGCATGCATGGCACGGGTTGGTGCTAATAAGGGCAGGAGGAGGGGAGGCTACTGTAGTTAACAGGGCTCCCCTTCGCAAAACCACGACTGCAAGCGATAATGCGGAAATACAACGAAAGGCAAAAACAGGAGGAGGAAATAAAGGTCCAAGAAACTCTCAAAATGTCTGAAAGTAGCAGTGACAACTGACAGCGAATGCCTATAGCAGAAGAGCAGCAAATCGATCATCTCAACAGAAATTATACAGCAAAAGGAAACTACAGTTAAGCAAGAATCTGTTGTGAGTTGGAACTACCACATTTGGACAACTCCGGAATCAGAAATCAGTCACGCTATCCAAATGATGAATGCTTCGGTTAAGTTTTGGGCAGTAAATAATTAACACAACTTTTAAGCCTGTAATAGGCCAAACAAGAACAAAACCTCTTTC